GCTCCAAAGAGGCCGTGGCAGAGTTCCCTCTGTCCCCCCCCAAGAAGAAGGATGTGTCCCTGGAGGAGATCCAGAAGAAGTTGGAGGCAGCTGAGGAGAGACGCAAGGTAAGGCTGGAGCAGCAGGAGTGAGCTCTGCTCCACCACTTCTGGGGCTCTTTTTATTTGTTTCTTGGGATAAGTGGGGGTTTTTAATGGCAAATTGAATATTAATGGAATTTATTAATGAAATCCCTGGGGCTCTTATGAAGCTTTATGGCCATGATTTTGATCCCAAAGAGATTCTGAAGAAAAACTGGGAGGGAGCGTGGCTGAGAGGGGCAGCTCCTTCAGGAAGAAGCTGTTTTTCTTGTCTTTTAACACCAGAACAGATGAATTTTCTCCCAGAAAATGCAGCAGCGAATCTGTAATGAGCAGTTGGGGAATAAATTGTCTGAGTGATGAAAGATGTGGCCGGGGGTGCAGCCCGGAGCCCTCGAGGGTGGCGAGGCTTTGATTGAAGTGAGCCTGACCTGAATCTCAGTGAGAGGGGAGGCTCTTCAAGGAAAATTCTTCCAATATTAACATCAAAAAAAAAAACCAAAAAAACAAATCCATGTTCCCTCTCCAGAACAATCCCGTTTAACAAGATGTGCAATGGCAGACAGTGAGCTTTGCAGGTGGATGTGATGAGGTGCAGGTTCTGAGGAGGGTGGGAGCCCCAGGAGCCGAGTGTGTGCGCCCCCCGGAGCCGAGTGTGTGCACCCCCCGGAGCCGAGTGTGTGCGCCCCGAGGAGCCGAGTGTGTGCGCCCCAGGAGCCGAGTGTGTGCACCCCTGGAGCCGAGTGTGTGCGCCCCGAGGAGCCGAGTGTGTGCGCCCCCCGGAGCCGAGTGTGTGCGCCCCTGGAGCCGAGTGTGTGCGCCCCCGGAGCCGAGTGTGTGCGCCCCTGGAGCCGAGTGTGTGCACCCCTGGAGCCGAGTGTGTGCGCCCCGAGGAGCCGAGTGTGTGCACCCCCGGAGCCGAGTGTGTGCGCCCCAGGAGCCGAGTGTGTGCACCCCCGGAGCCGAGTGTGTGCGCCCCCGGAGCCGAGTGTGTGCGCCCCAGGAGCCGAGTGTGTGCGCCCCCGGAGCCGAGTGTGTGCGCCCCAGGAGCCGAGTGTGTGCGCCCCAGGAGCCGAGTGTGTGCGCCCCAGGAGCCGAGTGTGTGCGCCCCAGGAGCCGAGTGTGTGCGCCCCAGGAGCCGAGTGTGTGCACCCCCTGGAGCCGAGTGTGTGCACCCCTGGAGCCGAGTGTGTGCGCCCCAGGAGCCGAGTGTGTGCGCCCCAGGAGCCCCGGGCTCCCCTCAGCCTGGCCCTGTCTCCCCAGTCCCACGAGGCAGAAGTGCTGAAGCAGCTGGCCGAGAAGAGGGAGCACGAGAAGGAGGTGCTGCAGAAAGCCATCGAGGAGAACAACAACTTCAGCAAAATGGCAGAGGAGAAGCTGACCCACAAAATGGAAGCCAACAAAGAGAACCGTGAGGCACAAATGGCTGCCAAGCTGGAGCGCTTGCGGGAGAAGGTGGGTGTGGAGCCCTGCCAGGGGAGCTGCCCCTGCTGGGAACAGGGGGTAAAAAACCCAAAACATAAGGTGGGGAGGGCACGGTGTGGTTGGGGAATCTGCAGAATTCCAGCTGTGTGGGGCTGGATGGAGCTGGGGCAGCCTCTGTGCCCCTCAGTGGTGTCAGAGCCCCCTGTCCTCAGAGTTCACAGCCCCTGTGCTGCTGTTTTCCAGCCCCTGTGCTGCTGTTTTTCTCTCCTGTGGTGTTTTTCCCTCCTGTGCCGGTTTCCAGCCCCTGTGCTGCTGTTTTCCAGGACAAGCACGTGGAAGAGGTCCGAAAGAACAAAGAAGGCAAAGACCCCGGCGAGGCCGAGACCGACTGACTGCGCTCTGGCAACTGACTCTCCCCCTCCTCCAAATATCCAAAGACTGTACTGGCCAGTGGTTTTATCTTTGGTTTTGGTTCGGTTATATATATATTTCTTTTTTTTTACGTTTCTTAGAAACTGATGTAGAACTGTAAAATTAGATCCAAACTGTACACTTGCTTTGGGGGCTAGAGGGGAGACCTTCCATGTGTCACTTTTCTAAAGTGTTGTCTTTCCAGTGTAGCTTTTTCTTCTTGTTGCATCCTTTTCTAAGCCAGTGCACTCGCTCCTGGGTTGATGGCGAGTACTGTATCAGCTCTGTAAGACCTTTGTGCAAGGAATCTCTGGTAACTGTTCCGTGCTCAATATCTGTTACACTTCAAACAAAAATCTCTGACTGTCCGGTCTGCTAAAATCCTGCTGTAACAAGTGACTCAATAAAGCTGCACAGTGCTGTTATCTGCTGCCTCCTCAGCAGCCAGGGCTGGGTGCAGGGACAGGGCCAGGCCATTGTCCTGGGCCGTGACAATCGGGGCTTTGTGTCACACCTCAGCTGGGGCTGTTTGTGTCCCGGGCTTTGGGACACAACAAACGGCCCTTGTGGCTCTGGGGGGACACGTGTGGCACGGGGGACAGCGGGACCTGCAGGGGCACAGGGGCAGAAGAACAATTTCTGTGCTGGGACGGAGCAGCCCTTGCCCACAGCCTGCTCTGTTTGTTCCTTGGGGCTGGGAAAAAGGGGAGGGCTCTGGGGAATGATGATTTTTAGGTGGATTTGGAACAAAATCACTGTTGTACCCCAAACCCTTCCCCTGAGGGTACCCACAGGTCCCTGGGCTGCCCTGGGCGTGTGAGCAGCACCACCACCCTCCCCAAAACCACCCTGGGGTGCCACAGCCCATGGAGGTGGCACTGCTGGCACTGCTCTCAGTCCTGCTCTGTCCTTGGCTCCCAGGTTTGTTCTCAGTTTAACTCCACACCCCGAGCACCTGAAGGTGGAAAATCCTTAGAGAATTGATTTTCTTAAGGGACTCGGGGAGTCCTGGCCCACTGGACTCTGGCCTGGGGTGTGGTGGAGAAGGAGCCTCAGCTCGGGACACTTTTCCCGAGTCCCCCTGGGCTCTGCTGAGCTCAGCTGTTCTTACTCCGAGAGGAGCAGCAGGACACAGCCCCGGAGTGCTCCCTGCCCTGAGGCATTTCCAGCAGGACACAGCCCCGGAGTGCTCCCTGCCCTGAGGCATTTCCAGCAGGACACAGCCCCGGAGCCCCGAGGGATTTGGAGCCGGTTTGGAGGTACGGGAGAGGCTGTGCTGCTCCCTGCTGGGCTCGGGGCTCCTCGGCATGGCCCGGCAGGGAGGACACGGGTGTGGGGTCAGGGTCTGCCTGGAATGGGGTCAGAACCTGCCCAGAGATGGGGCCAGGGTCTGTCTGGGGATGGGGTCAGGGTCTGTCCCGAAATAGGGCCAGGGTTTGCCTGGGGACAGGGTCAGGGTCTGCCCCACAGGGTCAGGGCAGGCAAACAGGGCTGAACTTTGTCTCAAAGCTTGTGAGCGCAGCCAGGAGCGAGGCTGAGCACCTGGCACAGTGTGATGGAGGCTGGAGCAGCTCCTGAGTACAAAATGAGGCACAATCGGCAATCGAACCCCCCCCCCCCCCCCCCCCCAGATCTTTTAATGCAGTTACCTGCTGAGGAAAGTGTCCCCAGTGCCATGTGGGGTTTTTTCTCCTCTCTCCAAACGTGGGGGAGGAGAGTGGCAGCTCTGCCAAGCCCCAAATGCTGCTGGAGCCCAAATGGATGCTAAAAGCGAGGTTAGGCTTGCCAGAGCTGTCAGAGCTCGCTCGGGGCCTTCTGTTCCCTCCTCCTCCTCCTGCTGCGCGTGTGTGTGCCGAGGGGGGCTCAGCGGGGCTGCAGGGCCCCCTCGGGGGTCTCTGGGTGCCCCTGGGGGGATGTGGGGGGTGCTTGGAGGGAGAGGACAGCAGCGACCTGGGCAGGGAATCGGAGAGGATTGATCAGGGCAGGAAAACAGAACTGGGGGTCCCTCTGGGGAGAGCTGGGCTGGAAACAGGTTCCATCATAATAACAATATAATAATAATATTTAATAATAGTAATAATAATTTAAGCAATAATTTTAAAAGCTTCTTCCAGCTGCCGAGGGAGGGAGGGAGGGATGCAGAGCCGTGCTGGGGCTGTGAAGGGAGGAGCAGCTCCAAGGGGCTGCGGGGCCGCGACCCCCGGGACCCCCGGCCATTCGGGGCCGCTCTGCAGGTGCCGGGGCGGGGCCGGGGGTCCCCGCGATGGGAGGGGAACCAAAGCCCGGCTCATCCCCATCCCAGGGCAGGGAGAACCATCGCAGGCTCTGCGGGGCTCAGGTGGATCGGGGGCTGATCAAACCCGCGGTGGAAGGATGGAAAATGAGAGCCGTGAGCGCTTTGGGAGGCTCGGGGAGGCTGTGCCGCTGCGCGGCGGGAGCAAACGGCGCTGGAAACAGCCGGGGGCGAGTCTTTATCATCGCACAAGAATCCAGCGGGTGGGGTGGATGCCGGCGGGCAGAGGAAGCGCTGCGGAGGAAGCGCCGGGCGGCTGAGGCGGCGTTAGCGCAGCCCTGCGGAGGCGCAGGCTGGTGTTGGAGTGCCGGGCACACGCAGGGTTTCCAGGATGCGCTCCCGTCATAACGGAGCGTTGCTCAAGGCTCCGTAGCTGGGAAGAGCCCGGCGGATGAAATCCTGCTCCGACAAGTTCTGGAGCAGCTGCAGTAAACACCGCTCCCTTCCCCTGCTGCTCCTGGCACGGCATCTCCCGGGGCCGCCTTTCCCGCAGGAATTTCCCTCCTAGGGGTCGAGCAGAGAGAGCCGAGAGAGCCGAGAACCGAGTGAGATCTGAGCCTGAGCCCCCCGCCCTGCGCCCGGCACCAGGCAAGTTCTCCGGGCACGGTTTGCTCCGAGCTGCCCGCGGGATTTGGGTCACAACAGCTGAATTCGGCAGGTTCTGCTTTGGCCCTCGCGGGTGCTGCGTTCAGAGCAGGAGGGAGCTCAGGGGGTGAATTTCCCCTGGCAGCCCCAGAGGGCGGCGGCTCTTCGGGAGGGTTGGGGTGGCCGGGGTGAGGTCCTGCCCCAGCCGGGCCTCTCCGACCCGGCCGGGTGGGCAAAGGGCACTGGGAGGGAAATGCAGCAGCAAAGAGCCCGGTTTGTTTTCCTCTTTGCATCGGTGCCCCTTGGATTCAGGCAGGAATGAGTTACAGCCTAACTTCGATGGGGAAATTACAGAGGTTTTTAAAACAAACAGTCCCATCCCCACCTCCTCCTGTTCCCAAACTTTGAAGAGCTTTTTCCTGTCCCTGAAATGAGGGCACTTGTCTGGGGGTGAGGCACAGAGCAGCACTGGAGCTGGACCTGAACCAGGTTTTCTTCAGGACTTGTCTGAGCAAGGGCAGGTAATGAATCTCAATGAGTTTTTATGAAAAGGCCGAAGCAGCTGGCAGGGCTGCCTTGCACTGGGTAAGGACAGCAGCTTCCAAAAGGTAAAAATGGAAATTCCTGCTCACAAAGATTGCACTGCTGGACCTCAGTGTGCAACAGGGCCACGATGTGGGAAGCTGCTTGGGAAATCATGAGCTGAGAAAAGGAGGTAAAACTCCAACACAGGAGCTGCAGCCTCTGCTATTTGTTGGTATTTGTAAGAATAAACTCTGCAAACAGTTTACAGGAGGGGGAATCTGCAGTGGGAGGTTTGTTTGGGATGCTTGGTTTGTTTAGCTGTTCCCAAACCACAGCGAGGGGGTGAGCCAGGCACTGGTGTGTCCTGGTGCGTTCATTATTGTCATTTAACCACAGCCTTGTGTCCTTGGGGCTGCCCACACAGCAGAGGCACCTCGGGGGCTCTGAAATCTCCCTCCAGCCTCATTTTTGTCTCTGTTATTGGGGATTCCACAGGGAAAACCCCCAACCAGAGCATTTAAACACCCCCTGCTTGTTGATTATTTGTGACCATGCTCACAGGGGTCCCAGGATGAGGGAAGAGATGAGGATCTGACTCCATGTTTCAGAATGCTGATTTATTATTTTATGATATATATTATATTAAAACTATACTAAAAGAATGGAAGAAAGGATTTTATCAGAAGGCTGGCTAAGGATAGAATAGGAAAGAATGAATAAGAAAGGCTTGTGGCTCGGACAGAGAGTGCAAGCCAGCTGTGATTGGCCATTAATTAGAAACAACCCCATGAGACCAATCCCAGATGCACCAGTTGCATCTCACAGCAGCAGATAACCATTGTTTGCATTTTGTTCCTGAGTCCTCTCAGCTTCTCAGGAGGAAAGATCCTAAGGAAAGGATTTTCCATAAACATGTCTGTGACAATTATTACATTAAAACCCCACAGCAGAACTCTCTCTCCCTCCCAGAGGTAACCAGGACGCGGAGTTTGGCCTCGCCATGGCCACGGTGGTGCCGGGGAAGCTGAGCCAGCTCCTGCTCAGCGTGAGGCAGCTGCCGGGGCCGCCGTCGCCGGGCACGGTGAGCAGCGCCGAGGTGCCCGCGGTGTTCTGGAAGCCCTACATCCACCGCGGCTACCGGCCCGTGCGCCAGACCTGGCGCTATTACTTCTCCACGCTGTTCCGGCAGCACAACGAGGCCGTGAACGTGTGGTCGCACCTGGCGGCCGCGCTGGCGCTGCTGCTGCGCCTGCTGCGCCTGTGGCAGCGCGTGGACTTCGGGCAGGACGCGCACGCCCGGCCCCTGCTCATCATCGTGGCCGCCGCCATCACCTACCTGACCTTCAGCAGCCTGGCGCACCTGCTGCAGGCCAAGTCCGAGTTCTGGCACTACGGCTTCTTCTTCATGGACTACGTGGGGGTGGCCGTGTACCAGTACGGCAGCGCCCTGGGCCACTTCTACTACGCCATCGAGCCGGGCTGGCACCGCCGCGTCCGCGGCTTCTTCCTGCCGCTGGCGGCGGCGCTGGCCTGGCTGTCCTGCGCCGGCTCCTGCTACGCCAAGTTCCGCTTCCACCCGCGCTGCCCGCTGCCCGGGCGCCTGTGCCAGGAGCTGCCCTCGGGGCTGGCCTACCTGCTGGACATCAGCCCCGTGCTGCACCGCCTCGCCACGGCCGCGCGCCCCGAGCCCGCCCTGCTCTACCACAAGTGCCAGGTGCTCTTCTTCCTCCTGGCCGCCTTCTTCTTCTCCCACCCCTACCCCGAGAAGTGGTTCCCGGGCCGGTGCCACTTCGTGGGGCAGAGCCACCAGATCTTCCACGTGTTCCTGGTGCTGTGCACGCTGGCGCAGATCGAGGCCGTGGTGCTGGACTACGAGTCCAGGAGGGAGATCTACTCCTCCCTGCAGCGGGGCCTGGCTCACGACTTCTCCGCCCTGTTCCTGCTCACCGTCGCCTGCTCCGTCCTCACAGCCGCCTACATGGCCCGCAGGGTGAGGCACAAGCTGGGCCTCAAGGAGGAGTAAAGGGAAAGTGAGCTCAGCCCAAACCCAGCCCCAAGCCCCCAGATGCTGCTTATTCAGCAAGTGCTTTCTGTAAGAATGAGAGATGCTTTAATGCCTTTTTAATCCAGCCTAAGTTCCAGCTTGCTCACAGAATGGCACAGGTTTCAGTTCAGCTCTGAATAAACAGTTGGAACAAAGTGTCCGTGTGCCCTGATGGGCTGGGGAGGCCCTGGGAGGCTGCCAGGGCTCCCAGCACGAGATAAGGAGAGGCCATCTGGCCCCTGTCAGACTCCAAACCATGGAAACAGACCAGGGCGAGGCTGGTTAAACCACTGAGGTGACAAATTAATTTAATATCACGTCAGGCCCCTCCTGTAGGGCTGAGGGAGTTGTTCAGAACTGTCCATGCAGTGCCAGGGGCTGTCCTTTACCCGCTGGGAGCAGCACGGGCACGGCCCAGGCCCTGACGGCGCGGAGAGAGCAGGGGATGGTGCGATGGGAGCCGCAGCAGCGGGACAGGCTGGGAACGGGCGGGTGTGGGGATCCCGCAGTGGATTCGGGGCAAAGCTGGAGCTGTTCCACCGCCGCTACCGCTCCGGGCCCCGCTCCGGCCGCTCTGAGGAGGCCCAACCGTTACCGCTCCTTATATAGGCATGGGCGTGGTCTCATTCCACATTTGGCCCCGCCCCTCGCCTCCCATTGGCCTGTTCCCTCGGACAGCGCGTGCGCATTGCGGCTTATGGGCGGGGAACATATGGCACCACCCCTCATCTCCCATTGGCCCGTTTCTGCGGGCAGCGCATGCGCACTGCGTCTTAAAGGGTGGGGCATGTATAGCCCCGCCCCTCATCTCCCATTGGTCCGTTTCTGCGGGCGGCGCGTGCGCAGTGCACGTTGAGGGCGGGGCCGGCGCGAGCGGGAAAACGCGAACCGGGAACCGGGAAAAACCGGAACCGAAACCGCGGGACGGGAACGGAGCGGGAAAAACCGGGAACGGGAAAAACCGGGAACGGGGAACGGGAAAACCCGGAACCGGAGCAGGGAACGGACCGGGAAAAACTGGAACCGGGAACCGGTCCCGGGGAGCCCCCGGCAGCCCCGGGATGAGGCGGCGGCGCGGGGGCGGCGCGGCCCCGGCCGAGGCCTGCGGAGTGTGGCTGGACACGGCGGAGCTGAAGCGGGGCCGGGCGCGGGTGAGGCCTTGAGGGAACCGGGGGGGTCGGGCCGGCACCGGGAGCACCGGGCCGGGCTGAGGCCCCGCCATTGAACCCCGGGGCTCCTTCGGGGCCTGGGGAGGGGAGGCTGATCCTTTGCTAACTATTAGTAATTAATATCAAATGATAATGGCTTATCCAGCATTGTGATGCTGTGCAATGAAGGCGGGAGCTGTGCCCCAGCGCTGGGAGAGGATTTATTTAATATTAATTTTAAAATTAATATTTTAATATTATATATTACAATATAAAATTATATATTATATAAATTATACAGATATAAGTTGTATATTTTTATTTAATATTTTAATAATTTAATATTTTTCACGTGTTTTTCCCCACAGCCCCTCACGCTCAGAGCACCCAGAGCTGCAGGGAGGAAACAGAGCCTGGGGCTGCTCCCACAGCCCGGCAGCGGGGACAGCAGCAACCCCAGGCAAAACATCATCCCCGGGCACAGCTCCAGCTCCTGGCAGAGCTCCATCCTCAGCTTCTTCAGCCCCCAGCCAGGTATCCAGCCCTCACCCACCCAGCTCTCCTGGCTGGGCAGGAAATGCTGGGCATTTTGGGGGGCACAGGGCAGAGGTTGGAACTCCCACGAAGCTGGATGGCCCTGGGAACTTGGATTTTCTATGGAGTTATTTCAGAGGTAAAACTTGGATTTTATAAGGAATGCTTTCGGAGGTAAAACTTGGATTTTCTATGGAATTATTTCAGAGTATAACTTGGATTTTCTATGGAATGATTTCCAAGGTTAAACTTGAATTTTTTATTAAATAGTTTCAGAGGTAAAACTTGGATTTTCTATGGAATGATTTCAGAGTATAACTTGGATTTCCTATGGAATTATTTCAGGGTATAACTTGGATTTTCTATGAGATTATATCAGGGTATAACTTGGATTTTCTATGGAATGATTTCAGAGGTAAAGCTTGGATTTTCTATGAAATTATTTCAGGGTATAACTTAGATTTTCTATGAGATTATTTCTGAGTGAGGCCAGGGCAGAGCTGGGGAGTTCTGGGGGTTTTTGGTGACTCTGGGCAGCAGCTGCAGCTCTGGGGCAGTGCCAGGGCAGCTCTGGGGATCCCTGGGGTGCTGGGGACAGCCCTGGGGACACTCAGGGATGCTCTGGGGTGGTTAACCCTGGGGAATGGCTCTGTTTTCACTGATTCTCTGTTTGCAGATGACAAAGAGAACCGCGGGCCCGCTGCTGCCCGTGAGGAGCCCCTGGTGAAGATCCTGCCCCTGCCCCAGCTGGAGGGAGCCCGGGAGGAGCCCCCCGGGGCTGGGCAGGGGCTGCAGGGCCCGGCCCGGGCAGCACAGACACCCCCGGAGCTCAGGGGGGGCTCCCGGGGGCTCGGCAGAGCCTCCCCCGGGGCCGGGGGCCGTTCCTGGGGCCGGGGCAGGGACGAACCCCGGGTGTGCCCTGCAGGAACGGCCCCGGGGGCCGGGACAGCTCTGCCCTGCCCCAGAGCCGGGGCTGGGGGCGCAATCCCGGCCCCGGGGGCTGCTCCCAGCCGGGGCTGCTGCTCCCCACAGAGCCCGGGGCCGGCACGGCCCCTGCGGGAGCGGGGCCAGGTCCGGGTGGGGCCCTGCAGGGAGAGCCTGGGCCGCAGGGACAGGGACAGCTCTGACAGGGACAGGGACAGTGCCCACAGGGACAGCCCTGACAGGGACAGGGACAGTGCCCACAGGGACAGGGCCACCCCCAGCCCCCCGCAGCCCCCCGAGCCGGGCTCTGAGCCCCTGTTCACGCAGGACTCCGAAGGGAACAGGGTCATCAAGCACTGGTGAGAGCCCAGCCTGGCCCTGCGGTGCTCACAGAGGGGAGGGAACCCCCTGGTGCAGCCCCCAGCTCCTGTGTGTTCTCTGAGCTCCTCTTTGTTCTCATGGGTGCTGCTCTAATCCAAATAAAAGTTGCAGTTTGTTTCTTTTTGGGTTTGGTGTGTCCCAGGGCAGGGAGTGCTGAGAGCTCCATCTCCACAAACCCCCCCCAAATCCTGGTGCAGAGCTCCCTAAAAATGGGAATTCTCACATCTTCTCTCTGCCACAGAATTCCCTCCTCTGTTTTTTGAGGTGGGGATGATGATTTAATTTTTCAAGGACATTGAGGAGGATGAAGAAAGCCCCTGGCCCCACCCCGAGCCCATCAATAACCCCACAGACCATCAGTGTCTTATTAAGGCTCCATTTTATAGAAAGGAAACAAAAATGACATTTTAAATACAGCCATGGGGGCACTGCAGGGAAGGTGGAGCTGGGGAGAGCTCTGGGTGAGGGGGAGCTGCAGCCACAGCCAGGCCAAGCCCCTGCCCTGCTCTGCCTGGGCTGCCAGGGCCACAAACAGACCCTGGGGAGGTGGAATCAAACACAGGCTGGGGGCACAGGGGCTTCAATTCAATCACTGGCAGGAACTTAAGGCCATTCTGTCATGCAACTGTGGCTGATCTGTGAGGGAATGAACACCCAGGGCACAGGAAACCCCTCAGACCCGAGCCAGGGGGGTTTGGGGAAATAAAATCCCTTTTCCCACCATGATCCAACAGTCCCGGAGGGCTGGGAGCACCCAGGAGCTCGTTCTCAGGGTAAAAACTGGGGTTTGTCCTGTCCAAACCGGGCAGGGAACTGGTTCTGTCCTTGCAGCCCAGTGCTGAGCTGGAACCTAAGGAAAAGTGCAGGAACACAGAACTCATCCAGCAGCACGCCAGGAGATCCTCACCAACACCAAAACACAGCTGGGAAACAGCTCCCATCTTCTTAAAAAGGATTTTCTTAAATAGAACAACACGTGGCAAAAACACATCAAATCCAATTCCCGACCAGGTGTCCGTGCACAAACCATGATCAATAAAAGAGGCAGAAGGCTCAATCCTTGGGAGAAGGCAGCTGCTGTGGAGGAGCTTGTGGGAGCAGAGCTGAGGGCAGCAGCATCACTTCTCCTTCAGGGCCAGGTCCTCGTCCTTGAGGGCAAACTTCCTCCGGAGCACCTCTGCAATGAGCACGGCCGGGTCCTCCTGCTTCAGGGACGGGCGGCTCCTGAGGGGACAAAACTCACTGCAGACAGCACAGAAATCACTGCAGACAGCACAAAACTCACTGCAGACAGCACAAATTCCTCACTGACAGCTCTGCCTGGCTCCTGAGGGACAGAATTCACTGCAGTGAGCACAAAACTCACTGCAGACAGCCCAAACAGGACCCAAATCCCTCACTGACAGCCCTGCCTGGTTCCTGAGGGCACAGAACTCACTGCAGTCAGCCCTGAACAACAAAACCCAGGAATGTGTTACCAATTCTGCTCCAAGGAGGTATTTCCCCCATGAAAATTCTCCATTATTTCCTATCCCAGAGAGGCAAAAACCCCAGGAATGAGTTACCAACATCTCATTTCCCCAGGAACGGAGCAGCTCCGGCCCCGTGCCCGCCCAGGCTCTGCACGGATTCCAGTCAGAATTAAGGAGGATTTCAGGAAGCACTCACAAGTCCTTGCTCTGCTTCATCCTGTGGATGTCCTTGAGAATGCCCATCATGTCGGCGAAGCTGCTGGCCTTGGACAGGGACACCGAGTCCTCCTCGTCGGGCTCGCGGGGCTCGGGCCGGCCCTCGGCGGCCGCGCCCAGCGGCGGCAGCTCCAGCTCGGCCACCGACGGCGCCTCGGGGCTCTCCAGCTCCGCCTCCTCCTCCGTGATGTCGCTGATCACGAAGGACGTGGTGGACTGGAAGGAGGGCCCGAAGCAGTGCACGGGAGAGGAGGCGTTGGAGCTGCCCGGGGACAGCAGCTCCGGGGTCAGCTGGGCCGAGGCTGGGACAGAGAACGGGAGGTGCGAGGGTGAGCTCACGGCAATGTACGTGGGACAGCTTCGCACCGGCACAACAGAGTGTAAAACCAAACAACATGTAAAACCCGAGCTGCCCCCAGAGCCAGCACCCACCGAGGGAACTGCGGGGAAACACCCTGAATGAACCTGGAGGGACCCAGGGAACTGCTGGGAACCAGCCCAGAGTGAGCCTGGAGGAACCCACGGCTCAGCCCCCAAAAGTAAATCAGATGAACCATTAAACAAAATACATGTGGTATTTTTTTTAAAAAATCAACTGTGTCTTGTTTGTATATTTGAGTTTTGCAGATCTGGCACCTTGAATGCAGTTGTGCTTTGGGATATAACTGGTTCACATGGATACTGATCCATGCCTGCTGGTCAGCAGCAATGGAGGAGTGAGAAAGAAGGTAAAAGACTGGGTAAATGTTGGGAAAACAGCCCAGAGGGGGCCTGGAGGAACCCAGGGCTCAGCCCCAGCAGGAACCTGGCCCTACCTGACTGTGCAGCCACGATTTTGGCGATCTGGCTCCGCAGGTGGCTCAGCTCATCCTGCAGCTCCGTGGTCCTGCTCAGGGCTGGCAACCCAGGCTTCTTCAGGGCCAGCAGCTTCTCCTCCTGCTTCCTCAGGTTGGGCACCGAGGCGTTCCTCTGGATCACCGTGAAGGGACTCGGCTTCCACTTGTGCTTCAGAGGGCGAGTGTCACTTCTGGGGACACAAAACTGTCAGAGCTGAGGCCAAACCTGGCCAGGGCAGAGCCTGGCACAGCCTGAGGGCAGCAGAGCTGGGACAAAATCCTGTCAGGAACTGGGGCCAAACCTGGCCAGGGCAGAGCCTGGCACAGCCTGAGGGCAGCAGAGCCTCCAAGGAAACAAATGAAGGCTCTGTGTGCCCACAGAGAGCACAGAGCACCTCTGCAGCACCAGGAACACAGGAAACTGTGGCTGCCCCTGCATCCCTGCAGGTGTCTCCAGGGGCATTTCAGTCCTGGGAGAGCTCAATCCTTTCCTGGCCAGAAAACCCCTTGGAGCAGCAGTTACTGTGCACAGAGCAGGACATGGCCCAGGCTCCTGGCACTTCCCACAGGAATTCCTCTCTGGGTTCTTTGTCATTTTTTCCCCTCTCTGGGTAAAAATGTCTCTCAAGAGGCACCATATGAGACCCTGAGGGGACTGGAAGCTGTGGCCATGAGAGCACAGTGTGGCTCTGTGCCAGAACAGCAGAGGAAAACCAACCTGACCCTGGCGTAGGTCTCCTCATCGTCAGCTGCGATCCACACGATGTCAGCCAGGGTGGGCACGGGGGGCACATCCCCCAGGTACAGATCTGACACACTGGGCAGCACCTGCAGGACGGAGATGCTGCTGAGGAGAGGGTGTTTGTCCTCCTGGAGCTGCCCCAGGTGTGCTGCCAGAGCCCCTGTGCTGTGGGCAGCTGTGTCAGGCACACACACAGCACCAATTCCAGCAGTTTGTTTTAGTTTGCACAATTGTTTGAGGTTTGGAGCTGGGAGAGAAATCCTTCCCTGGGCCAGCTGCTGCTCCTTCCTACTGTGTGAGGCAGGAGGTGACACCTGATCCAGGCCAGGCGCTGCCAAGGCCACGTGCCACCCTCTGCCACTCCAAGTACCACCCTCTGTCACTCCAAGGGTGACATCAGGGACTCCACAGTCCTGGAACAGCCCCAGAGGGCAGCAGGCCCCTTGGAGGTCACACAGCAAAACCCTGGGACAGCAGCTCCACCTTTCCATTTCCCTCAGCTCAGGCACTGCCTGAGCAGGGATTCCCTCAAGCTGCCAGGGATCGCTTGACAAGAACAGAATTCAAGAAAAAATAAATTACAAAAAGAATTCCTAAACTTCACTGCACCAGTGCAGGTTTTGTGGCTGCAGCTCTGCAGATGTGTGGGGGCAGAGCAGCCCTGCTGGCACTGCCTTGTGCTGCCCCAGGCGCCCAGGCAGGGGACACTCACCTCGAAGGTGGCCCTGGGACAGGGCTTCAGGGGCAGGTTGGAGCCGATCATCCTGACCACGCTGCGAGCTGAGCCATGGGGCTTGTTCTGCCAGATGGGGATGGTCTGCAGGGACACAGCACGCTCAGCACCACACCCAGGCCCTCCCTGGAATTCATTCAGCTGGAAATTCTCCTCAGCTGTCAGGGGCTATCTCTGACTGGTTATCTGTTCACTTGTCACTGAGAACCTGGTGGTAACTGAGGTTAGCAGCTGGTTTGGAGCTCCCAGGACACTTCTGGGCTGCAGCCAAAGGGTGAAGTGCTCTGCCCATGAGAGCTCCTGTGGCAGGAACAGCACCAGGCTTTGCACGGGGAACAGCACGGTGCCAAAGCTCAGCCCACAGCTCACCCAGGAATCGATTTATTGCTGGAGCTCCTCTGTGCTCTGAGCACTCTCCATGCTGACACACCTGAAACTCCTGAGGAGCCCTTCAGACTGAACCCTTGGGCTGGGGCAGGGACGGGACAGAAATCTCTCTGCCTGGGGATAGGGACTGGGGCGGGGAGGGGACAGATCTCTGCCTGGGGACAGATCTGTGCCTGGGGACAGATCCCTGCCATCTCTGCCCGGGGACAGGGGCGGGGGCAGTGCCCGGGAGCTGCTGCTGGGGAACGGCGGCAGGGGAAGGTTCTGGGGCAGTGCCCGGGGCTCGGAGGAGGTGTCGGGGGCAGTTTCGGGGCAGCCCCCGGGGCAGTGCCCGCTGTCCCGCCCGTGTCACTCACGGCCTCCGCGTCCATGTCCGCCTGCTCAGCGCCGGCCGCTCATCGCACCCGCTCCGCCCTCACTGCAACAACAGCGGGGGCTCAGCACGGCCCGGCCCGGCTCTCCGGCCCCTCACGGCCCGGCCCGGTCCCCCGGCCCCTCACGGCCCGGCCCGGCCCGGTCCCCCGGCCCCTCACGGCCCGGCTCTCCGGCCCCTCACGGCCCGGCCCGGCCCCCCGGCCCCTCACGGCCCAGCCCCCCGGCCCCGGTACCTGCGGGCCGGCGGCGCAGCTCGGCCCCGCTGCCAGCGCCCCCTCCGCCGCCATCCCCGGAACCAGAACCGGGCCCGCCCCGCGCCTTCCGGGGCCGCGGCGCCTGCGCCGGGAACAGCGAGGGGACAGCCCGGGGACAACGGGACGGCCCGGTGTAAAGGGGGGACACCCTGTTACATGGGGACACCCAGGTGTAAAGGGGACATTGGGGACACCCCGTCTCGCCCCTCGCCCCCGCAGCCCCGGCGCAGGAAGCAGAGCCGAGCCCAGCTGAGGAAATGATGCACGGATGATTTTGGTTTTACCGGGGCCGCTCCGCCGCCCCTCCCGGCCGACATCGGCCCGGGCCCGCCGCGGGTTTCGGGCCGGGGCGTCACCAGGCACGGCAGGGGCGGCGGCGGAGCCCATACAGAGAGAACGGACCGAGAACGGGGGAACACAGGGAGGGAATGGGGAGAACGCTTGGCACGGACTGATGGAGCCCCGCAGCCTGGCACGGGAAAAGGGACACGGGCTGTGACCCCTCGGGGTCCCCCAGGCCGCTCCGGCTCGGGGGTGGCTTTGGGGCTCCCCCTGCACTGCCCAGGCTCATCCCGAGAGCGCTCACAGCTGGCTGGGGGAGCTCAGGAGAGAATAAAATAAAAATAAACTCTGTGGGATCCCAAAGGCTGAGCCCTGCAGGGATGGAAGGGCCCCAAGGGCTGCCAGAGCTCTGCAGTGCTGCCCCGAGCCCAGCCTGTCCCACCGGGGTGTGGAAAGTGCAGAGTTAATGCATAGTTACAAAGCCAACCGTGCCGGGGTCATTAATTAGTCTCACTAGAGAAATTAGTGAAGTGGCACCGGTTCAGCCCAGAGCTAAGCTCAGTCTCCAGGCTCAGGTATGGACCAGGGTGGGGACAGGGGAATTGCCACCACCAGGCTCCTCCCAGGACTGAAAATTAAAAATTAAAAAAAGGCTTTTCCCTTAATTTGATTTGGTCCAACACAATTGTGCTTCAGAGAGCAGAAGAAGCATCAGCAGCCAGGGCTGGCTGCAGGCAGCTACTGAGGATGCTTTGTCCCCTCACATGTCTGTAGGAATTTGCCTGAAACTTCACTCAACCTTTCCTTCTCCAAATCACAAAATGATGCTCATTCTGATCCAGGCATTGGCACAGAGCAGGAGCAACTGCTCAGGGTGGCTTCAGGTGAGGGACAATGGCTTTGTGTCTGAACAATCTCTTTGGAAAAAATTCCTGGAAATACCTTCTTGTACTGCTGGCTTTTAGAGCTGCCCAGTCCTCAGCCAGGTGAGGATCCCGGGCAGCTCCCAGAGGGAACTTCATGTTCACAACCTGGGAGCTCAAAGCACACAGGGACAGAGCAGCAGCTCCAAGGGGACACGGGGACAAGGTCCCAGAGCTGCTGGGAGGGATGGATGGGTGGGTGGGACACTGCTCACTGCTGTGTCCTTCAGCCTGGGGTCACTGGGGGGCTCACACTGATCCTCAGCCCACCCCTCTGATGCCCTGGTGCCCATCCTGGTGTCCCTGTGCCACCCTCAGGGCAAGGCCACCAGTGCCACAGGAGCTCAGGGCTGCCACAGTCCTGTCACACAGACTGTCACAGTCAGATCCAGGCTGCCCAGGACACCAGGCTGGCCCCAGGGGACAGGCACTGCCCAGGGCTGCTGGCTCTGTGCTCAGCACGAGTGTTTGGTCACGATGGCAGCGCTGTCCCTGCTCCCAGCAAGTCCTGCAGGCCAGGAGCAACGAGGGTGGGTGCACACCCAGGCGGGGGCACTGGGATGTGTTCAGGTATTTGCACTCCTGCAGAAATGTGCCTGCAGCGAGAGGGGCAGGCTGTGGAACTGAACTCAGCTCACACCAGGACCCAGAGCTGGGACTGCTGCAGTTCAACGTCTGCCACGGGGATCAGGAGGATTTGCTGTAACCAAAATAGATCTCTGGAGTCTTTGGCCATCTCAGGGGGGCATTCAGTGCCTACTTTTAGGGCTGCAGGTATGGTTTTGCTCTGTGCAGCCCTTCCTTCAGGAACTGGAGGTAAGTTGCAGTTGAAGGGTCTTCAAAATTGGTTGAGAAACTAAAGATGCTGCTTTCAACATCTTCAGGCTTCATGGAAGTAATGTCCAGGAAATAGTTGGCATTGATGTGGTGAACCTGGCAAAGGAAACAGATGAGAGGAGACTTCTAAGGGTCAGAACAATTCCCCATCCCCTGCCTGGCCTGCAGCCAGCACAGAGGAGACAAGGCTCTAACAGCTCCCACGGAATATCTGATTCTTGTGCTAATTCAGGAACCAGAATTTGGGTCTGAATTTCACAGTCAGAGAACAATGTGTGATGTTCCCCCAAGGGTGCTGACCCTTTGCTGAGGTTAAGAAGAAGAACTAAAACACATTTGTTCCAGATTTCTAGGCTCAGGGGCAGCCCCAGCTCTGGCAGACCCTGCCCAGAACAGATGCCATGGAGGAGCCCAGCCTTACCACCGTGCCGTTGGGGAGGCAGATCATCATCTCCACAGGGAAGTTGTATTTCTCCAGGTGCAGCTTGGCCAGTTTGCTGTGGAGCTCATTCTCTCTGTTGCTCTGCAGGGAGACACCAAAGCCACACACTGGCACACCCCACAAGTGGCAGAATGGCACAGGGGAGCCCACAGGAGAGCAGGAGGGAGGGAGCAGAGCAGCTTTGCAGTGCAATGGTAACTGGTACCACTCTCACAGGCTGCTTTCCCTTTCCCTCTCAGGCTCCCTCTCTCATTTCAGCTGCAGATTTTCTCCCCAGACAAGAAATCACCCCATCACAGGCACACCAAAGTGTGATCCCAGCCCTTCCCAGTCCCCAGCTCTGTGACTGATCCCAGCTGACAGCACAGGCTCACAAGGGGGAAAGGCTCAGCCAGGAGCCCCAGGGCTCACACAGTTATTTGGGTATTTGGTTATTTGCTTGTCCCCTGGGCTGCAGGGCAGTCAGCTGGCTGATGGCACCAGAGGCCTTGGGCAGGGCTGTCTCACAGAGAAACATCTGTTTTAGCTTTAAACCTGGCACCAGGACAGAGCCAAGGGGGTCACAGTGCCACTTGTCAGCCTGCTCCATCTGCTGCCTGCCTGGCCCCTGCAGCAGCCAAGCACAGGGAGGGCTGGGAACAGAGATCCCCCTGGCACCCCCTGGCACCCCAGCAGAGCGTGAGCCTCACCTGCAGCTCCTCCAGCTCCTTGACCAGGGACCAGCTGCTGATGAAGCTCTCGTTGAGCAGGGCGAGGATGGGCGAACTTTCCAGGACGGTTTCCCGGAGAGTTCGCCCCGAACCTGGCACGGGAAGAGGCACAGGAGGCTTTGCTGGGCTTCCTCAGGGCACTGTCACCGTGCTCCATGCCAGCTGCTGAGTGCCAGCTGGCTCTGGCTCCCCCCAGCCCTCCCCACTGCCTTTCTGCTCCATTTCTGGCAGTTTTCCATGGCTTTTGCTCCCCACAGGTGCTGCTGGCAGAGCAGAGCCCAAGGCGGGCACAGAACAGGAGAGCCATGGCAGCCACCCCCAGTGCCACCTGCTGCTCATGCCAAGCACAGCCCAGTGCTGAGGGCTCTTCAGGGCACACAGGATTGAGGAGACCCTTCCCCTCCTGCCCAACGTGGCACAGAAGCTCTGAGGCACTGGGGGGGAAAGCTGCACACCAGGACAGCCCCAAGGCCAGGCCTGGCTCTGACCTGTTCTGTGCAGGTGCCAGGACAAGCCACACAGAGCAGTGCCCCTTTCCCTGCCAATGCTGCCTCTCCTCTTCCCCAGCAGGAGAGAGGAAAGGGAAGGACCAGAGCCATGTCTCCACTTTGACAAAGGCACCTGACTCAGACAGAGCTGGTGTGGCCACTGGGCAGCTGAGATCTCATCAGTAATTCCCACTCCCAGCTCCCAGCAGTGATTCCCAGCTCCCAGCAGTGATTCCCAGCTCCCAGCTTTGTCTGTCCAGCACCCCCAGAGCCCAAACAAGTGGCGCAAGGTCACCTGCTGGCCCCTGACCCCCATCCCTGCAGCCAGGCTGGCAATGCCCTCACCTCAGCAGGACTGGTCATCCAGGGCCCCCCAGAGCAGGATGGAGTGCACCAGCTTCTTCTCTGCTTGTGCTCTCTCAAAGGCTTCTGTGAAGGGCAGGTAGGAGACCTGGGGGCAGAGGGACAGCGTGAGGGACAGGGACACAACAGCCCAGCTCCAGCAGGAGCAGCTCTGAGGGAACCAGACCCAGGGGGGACACACACAGAGCTCAGTCTGCAGCAGGACATGCAGATTTAAATCAGTGATAACTGTGATAAAGTGATAACTGTGGTGGGGAGGCTGTGGTCCCCCTGTCCCTGTCCCTGCAGAGCCCTGACCTCACACACTGCAGAGAACACCTGCACCAGGGCGCCCAGGCTGTCTGCAGCCCCACCTCAGCTGCAGGGAAATCTGGCCTTGAGATATTTATTATAAAATCTCCTGAAAAACCCTGAGAATTGGCTGAGGGAGCCTGCACAGAGCTGCTCCATCCCACCTCAGCTGCTGGGAAACCTGGCCTTGAGATATTTATTATAAAATATCCTGAAACAGCCTGAGAGCTGGCTGAGGGAGCCTGCACAGAGCTGCTCCATCCCACCTCAGCTGCAGGGAAATCTGGCCTTGAGATATTTATTATAAAATATCCTGAAACAGCCTGAGAGCTGGCTGAGGGAGCCTGCACAGAGCTGCTCCATCCCACCTCAGCTGCAGGGAAATCTGGCCTTGAGATATTTATTACAAACCTGCTGAAAAATCTCAAGAATTGGCTGAGGGAGGCTGCACAGAGCTGCCGCAATCACTCCAGTGAAAGGAACTGATAGGAACATCTTGGCAGCCTGAAGGGACATTTGTAAGCTCGGGCACGAGGAGGCAGCCACCAAAATGTGTCCCTGCAGCCAAGGCAGCAGTGACAGGCAGTGGCCATCTGCTCCACAGCCTGCTGGCCTGTTAAATGGTTTGGGTCACCCAGAGCTGTAAATCTGTGTCTGGCTGCAGGCTGCAGAGGCACAGGCAGCTCGTGTGTTCTCTGCTGATAAGGAGAGCTTGGTCCAGAGGCACCTGGCTGCTGTGCCAGTGAAGCCAGAGCAAAAAGCATTTGTGAGCAGCACAATTACCTGGCTGCTCCACAATCACAGCATAGACAGTGATCAGAGGCAGGAAGGATGAGCCTACACCCACAGCACAATCCTGACATGGAGAATTTGCTGCTGCCTGTGCTGCTGTGTGACCCCAAACCCCCCGGGACACCCTCCCAGTGCCCTGGATGCTGCTCAGGCTGTGTTCCCTGGACCCTCCAGGTCACTGGGTGGCTCAGTGAGGACGATCTGCCCCAAATCAACGTGCCAAGGAGAGCCCAGCCCCTTGCTCACCTTCTTAAATGGGTACATGGCCACCTCCAGCCTGTGGGCTGCCTCCTGCCAGGGGATCTGCTGCTGCCAGGTGATCTCCTCAAACACAAACTGGATGGGCTCCTCCGAGGGGTCCCTGCTGGCCAGGACCTTCCCGTCCTCATCGTGGATCACGGAGGGCACCGAGGGCCCTGTGGCCTCCAGCTCCATCTGCAGGGAACAGCCTGCCTTGGACCTGCTGCCAGCCCTCTCCTGGTGCTCCAGGACAGGGCACAGATCCTAAACAACACCGTGCAGCTCCTCGGGAAGGCACAGCCTCATCTCCCATCTCCTGGAGCTGCACTGTGCCAGTGAAACACCAGGAGAGGAACTTCGTTTCCCTCAGTGTGGCTGCACTCCCTGGGCTGGAAATGCACAGAGTCCACGTTCCCACCTTCCAGTGCTGTGGGACACCAGATCCTTTCAGCCACCAGGACCTGCAGGGCTCACTGGCAGCTCTTGCTCTGTCACCAGCTCAGCCCTGGGAAGCCACGAGAGGGAGCAGCAGGAAAAGCTGCCCAGGAGCTTCCCTGTGGTTCTGCTACAGCTGGAATGATTCTGCTAAATCTGACTTCTGCCAATTAAAAATAATCACAGCTCTAGTCTAGGAGAACATGGGCCTGGTGAGTTCAGGCATTCAGAATTCTGCCTTATGTTTCCTGTCCCAAGAGCACAAAAAAGGGGAACAACCTCGTGCACTTTCTAAATCCAGCCCCACGGTTATTCATACCCTGCTCTGGGCTCAGGGCCTGGGTTCAGCTCCTCATCTTCCCTCCTGCCTGTCAGGCAATGTTTTAAAAAAGGGAAAAGTCTCCAAAAGCTTAGGATGCAACCCACACTGAGGGAAAAAGGAAAATACCAGAAGAGCTGCCAACGGGGCTGCAGAGGACAGACAGAGACAATTGGAAATTGCACTGCTGTACTGAAATGATCCAGGGAAAGCTCCAAGGAATGGGGTACGGAGGCTCCACAGGTTTGTGGCAGCACAAACCCCTGAGAAGCTGCCCAGTGTGGGGCACAGGACAGGGCACAGACCTGGGGCAGGTATCCAATGTCCACCTCCATGTTGCTGCTCTCGCTTGCCCCGTAGAGCCACTCCATGTCCACGTTCAGGGACCTGCAGGGGAACAGACAGGGCCAAAGCTGGGCAAGGGAACCCCCAAACTGTGCAAGAGAACCCCAAACTGAGAGAGCATCCTCCTGCAGGGGAACCCACGAGTGACCCAGGGCCAAAGCTGTGCAAGGGAACCCCCAAACTGAGGGAACATCCTCCTGCAGGGCCAGCACTGAGCCCAGAGCCTCTGGAGATCTCTGTGCTCCCTGCAGCAGCCCAGGAACACCAATCCTGCTGGCCCAGGGCCCAGGCACCCACTCAGCACTCTGGAAATCACACTCAACACCTCTGAGCTCTGTCAAATGACAGGAAAGAGAGATGTCTTTGCTCCCTCTTCCTTCCCAGCATTTCGCTCGCACATCCTGATCCTGCTGAACTTTTAAAAGTGTTTTTCTGGAAGCAAAAGGCTGCTGGCAGAGCCCAAAGTGGCTGCTGGCTGTAAGAAATGTGCTGACAGAGCCACTGGGGTTGAGTCGCCAGGGTAACGTTGTAATAGAATTTTCACTCTTGTCATGGGCAAAGAGATTTGAAGCTCCTTCCCCCTGAAACACTTCCAGCTCCTTGCCAGAGAGCAGGAACGAGCTGCTGCACAGCTCTGCACACAAAGCCTTAACCTGTGAGACTCCAAGCAAAAAATGTGTTGGAGGAGGAGCAGCAAGCCTTGCTGAACTCCACTGGGACTGCCAGTCCTGCCACATAACCCTGTCCCTCCCATAAGCAAGGGACAGTTAGTGGGTGTGAATCAGGCCCTGGGTGTGTCAGGGATCCTCACCAATGCAGAACTGCATTTAAAGCAACTGCAGAGCTCAAATCTCTCAGATTTTCCCAGAAATGAGAGGGAAACAGCCGTACCTGTTGTTGGGAACAAAGAGCCTGAAGTCCCTGACGTGGGAGGAGTCCTTGGACAGGACAATGTAACCTGTGAACTGCCCCGGGGAGAACCAGAAGGGGAAGTTTGGTGGCTCGTTCAGCTGGAATTCGGCGTGGATCCTGCAAGGAGAGAGGAGCCATCAGCTGGGATCCTGCACTGCAGGGACAGCAGGGAAAAGCTGTCTCCAGGCACCTGAAACTATGAACCTCGACTGGGCACAAGAGGTGGAGCTTAAACAGCTTTTCATGTCACACAGTGAGGAGGGTGAGACTGGAACAGATGCCCTGGGTCAGGAGCATCTCCAGTATCCATGCCTTCTGGAACTGGGCAGCCAGGAAGGATGAAGTAATTTATCATTCCTTGAATCACAGGGACAGAACAAGGCCCCTTTAGCTTGCTCAGACACATCAAAGCTGTGTGCAACACTGTAAAGTGTGTAACAGCTGTGTAAAGCGTGTAACACTGCCAGTAAAACAATTCTGTGCACTCTCCACCTTGGAAAGACACTCTGACAAACCTAAATCTAACAGAATTCTTGCCAGCCAGATTCTCCCCTTTCAGCCAGCGGTGATGCCCTGCATGAGGACATGGTGACACTGGCAGCACAGGGGACCCTTGGCTTGCATGAGGACACGGTGACACTGGCAGCACAGGGGACCCTTGGCTTGCATGAGGACACGGTGACACTGGCAGCACAGGTGACTTTTGGCTTGCATGAGGACACGGTGACACTGGCAGCACAGGTGACTTTTGGCTTGCACCTCCCTCCCAGCCCCAGCACCCAGTGTCCCTTGGGAACCTGCTGCAGTGCCATGCCTGCTGTGCCCTCTGCCAGGGCTGCACAGGCTGGGGGTGTCCCCATCCCCCGGGGGTGTCCCCATCCCCCGGGGGTGCCCCCATCCCCCGGGGGTGCCCCCATCCCCTGGGGGTGTTCCCATCCCCCGAGGGTGTCCCCATCCCCTGGGGGTGTTCCCATCCCCCGAGGGTGTCCCCATCCCCCGGGGGTGTCCCCATCCCCCGGGGGTGCCCCCATCCCCCGGGGGTGCCCCCATCCCCTGGGGGTGTCCCCATCCCCCGGGGGTGTCCCCAGCCCCCCGGGCTCACCGGAATGCCACGCTGTAGTAGAAGCTGCTGCTGGCCTGCAGGCAGGCCACGGCTCCCTGCGGGGCGAAGCGCGTCCTGACGAAGGGGCGCGGGTGGAACATGCTCAGCAGCCTGTGGATGAGCACCTGAGGGAGGGCAGGAGAGCGTGAGAACTGCTCCTCACACGGGAGGAGGGCTGAGGACAGCAATGAGAACTGCTCCTCCAAAGCAACCCCCACCTGAGAACGGCCGTGATTTAACAGCCAGCTCAGAGACCGACCTAATCACACAGCAAGGAGACAAAGCAAGGCACTGCTGTCACAAATAAATCCATCTTCCATGGTTTCTGTGCCATTGCCATGGGCTGCAGCCTTCCATCAGCCCAGGCAAACAGCAAACTGATGTGCAAGGCTGCCTGTGCCAATGCTTCAGCCTTGAAGGGGTGGGATGCAGCCAGGGGAGGGGATGCACAGCCAGGCTTTACCTGCTGGGCACACACAGGTCCCACCTGGCACCTGAAGGCTCACTTGGACACTGTCCCATCAGGAATGACCCCTGTCCTTTCTGAATAACTCTCTCTGGGAAAAGCTATGCTCCAGTCCCACACAATTAACAAACAAGATGAAGTTACTCGTCACAGACACACACAGAGCTTCTGCCTCCTCTCAGTTTTGCCCCCAGTTTAGGTGCTCCTGGCTATACACTGCAGAATTCCTGCTTCCCTAGAAAACAGGGGTACACATACGAAATCTGAGTGCCATATCTCACCTCTTTGCCCTTGGGAGGCGGAGGGTAAAACCTGTTGTTGGAGAGATACCCAGTGAAGATGTTCAGCTCACTGGGAATGATCCACCAGGGCTCCCCAAGCTCCAGATTGTCCTTAGGAGGGAGGAAGGCTTTGAAGTGCCTGGCAAGCAGGACACTCATGGGGGCTGCTGGGGCTGTCCAGTTCCTGAGCCCAGACAGAGCCACGTGGGAAATCTGGGAACAGAAGATGCTGTCAGAGCCCACAGAGGAGTGTCCCAGTGTGCAGTGATGTCATGGATGCAGGGAGGCTTTGGAAGAGGGGGGGAAAATGCATCACATCCCAAATTCTTCTTACCCCACCAAACATTCTGTCAGCCCTCAAGAATGTGAGCTCCAGAGCAGAGGGAACAGGCCATGAGCAGAGGCAGCTCTGTTCCTGCTCCCCAGGAAGGGAGGCTGCTCTGACTGGGGCAGGGCACTGCTGAGTGTGCTGAAAGCCTGCAATGCTGAGGGGGTCCCTGTCACAGCAAGGACCCTGTCCCCTCCCAGCACATTCCTGGTGCTGTTCCCACCCCCAGATTGTTTATCCCACAGTCTGGGCCCTGCGGGACACCTACTCCCAAGAAGCCATCCTTGCTCTTCGTCATCGTTTCCATGAGCAGGGGCTGGAACTTGGCCACGATGGACAGAGTCTCCCCATCTGGATCTGGTGTCTCCTCCTCTTCAGACTCTGACACTGGAGCAACCCCTGGGCACAAGGACAGGAATTCAGGCAGCTGCTGCCCCTCCCTCCCCTTTTATGCAGCTGTGAAGTGATCACACGTTTATCCTGCAAATCCAGGAGCACTGGGGGTCTCCCAGCTGTCCCCACACAGCAGAACTCTGACCCAGCTCTGGCTGCATGAATGAAGGGGAAGGGGATGAGCTCAATGGCTTTAACGTGGGAGGGGATGGGTTTAGGTTGGACATTGGGGAGGAATTGTTCCCACAGGCGCCCAGAGCAGCTGTGGCTGCCCCTGGATCCCTGGCAGTGCCCAGGGCCAGGCTGGACAGGGCTTGGAGCAGCCTGGGACAGTGGGAGGTGTCCCTGCCATGGCAGGGGTGGCACTGGATGGGCTTTGAGGTCCCTCCCAGCCCAAACCATTCCATGGTTCCCTGTTTCCCTGGCTGCAAAGCCCAGGCACACTCACAGCCCCATCCCAGCACGTGCTGGAGCCAGTCCAGGAGAGCACAGCAATCCCTGTCTGTGTCCCCATGTCCTTTGTCATGCCCACACTCTCCCTGGCTGGCACCAGCAGAGCCACTTGCTCTGTGCTGACACAGCCTGCAGAGATGATCTCCCCCAGCTGCCAGCCAGGAGAGCTGCCCCAGCTGAATGGAGCCCTCACTGGTGCCTCTGGCCTGGCCCGAGCTGCATTTGTGCCATTCACCCATCCCAAATCCCCCTTAAGCTCCACACAAAGTCACTTATGTACTTTGCTAGTCCAGCAGTGGGATCCTCCACCCTGTAAAAACTGCACTCTGTCACAGTGATGTCTGCTGCTTAAGCCTTTCCAACAACATGGAAAACCTCACAGCCTCTCTTCGTGTAAATAACACCCAGAAAACAATAAAGTGAATAAAACATTCAGTGAGTTCAAGCTGTGGGGTTCATGATGTTCGGCTCTGTGCAGGAACCCACCTGTGAGCTTCTCAGCAATGGGTTTGAACTCCTCTGGGCTCAGGTACAGGTCCTTGTTGGTGTCCAGGGAGGAGAAGAGGAACAGCCCCTCATTCCCCAAGGACTTGAGAGCCAGCTCCTGGTTTGGGAAGAAGAGGCAAGAGAGATTTCATTGGAACCTCCTGCAGGAGCCCACTGTGGCCCCTCTGGAGTTAACCCCACCCAGGGGGAAGATGAACGGCCCTTGGCAGGGTTTGGTGCTATTTGCAACGTGTCCAGGAACTGCTGGCACGAGGACACTGAACCTACATCTGCCTGAGTAATTCCAGCTGAACCATTTGCTCACGTTCAGAGCCTTTTGCCAGAAAAATCCCTCACTTCTTCCAGCTAGCTCAGCCTAAACCTGCAGATCTGGGAGCACCTGGAGGTGGTGGCTGCTGGGATGAGCTGATGTGCAAACAAAGGCGGTCAAATATGTGAGTACCACATTCCCAAAGCACAGAGGGAGTGAGCTGAGCCCTTGGAATTAGAAACCTCCACTTGTAGTGGGATCCACTCCAACATCACCGCCCTGCTCTGGTCAGTGCCCCTCTAAAGCTCCAGACCTGGAACTGGAATATTTTGGCTCCCTGCTCCCTCAGCCACCCATCAGGGAGTCACAGAACCCACGGCCTTCTCCAGAAACTTCCATAGGATCCCAGCTGCTCTGTGCCTCAGTTTCTCCCTCTGCCAAGCCCCCACAGGGCTCACCAAGGTGATGTCTCCCTCAGAGCAGCCCCAGAAGGGCTCTGGAAGCTTCCAGACATTTCCACTCTGCACTCTGAAGAGAAAGGAACAACTTGGGAGGCAGAGCAAGAGCTCCAGGTTGGTGTGAGAGGAGGGAGGGACACAGAGCAGGCAGGGCAAAGCCCTCAGTGCCAGCCAGCCCTTGGCACATGCCCCAGGATCCAGCAGCTTGCCCTGCCACCCTGGAGAAGGCTGGAGCTGGGAGCACAAACACTCTGCATTCTGCTGCTCTCCATTGCCTGCAGCACCATCCCCAGAGCTCCTGAGCCAGTTTATTTTCCATCTGTTGCCTGCCAGCCTGAAGCAGCACTAATGCAGCCTGGAAGGCTTTGCTCCCATCAACTGCAGCTACAAAAGCACTTAAGAGCCTTCCAGGGCACTTCCAGGGCCGAGACTGAAATAAACAGGAGCTCAAAACGAAGATGTGGATGAGGACGTGGCCAAGGACAGGAAAAAATGAAGGGAAACGTTTTTTTGTGCACAGGGACAATGCACTGTGGACTGTCCACAGTTAACCTGCTTTCATTCCCTGAATGAATGGGGATGAGCATCCTGGGCTCTGGAAAGAGGTAACAGCTCTGGTGAGCACCTGGCTGCAGGCGCTGACACATCTCCTTCAACCTGGTGTCCACCTGAACCCCCAGTGATGCCTGGTGGTCACCTCAGCCTGGCCACCTCAACCCAGTGTCCACCTTAACCCCCTCAATGCCTGGTGGTCACCTCAGCCCGGCCACCTCAACCCAGTGTCCACCTTAACCCCCTCAATGCCTGGTGGTCACCTCAGCCCGGCCACCTCAACCCAGTGTCCACCTTAACCCCCTCAATGCCTGGTGGTCACCTCAGCCCGGCCACCTCAACCCGGTGTCCACCTGAACCCCCCAATGCCTGGTGGTCACCTCAGCCTGGCCACAGCACCTCAGCCCCAGCAGCCACCGATGCCTGGCAGTGCCCCAACACCAGCGACACCTTAACCCCCATGGGCACAGATGCCTGGTGGTCACCTCAAACCCAGGGGTCACCCCAAGTCTGGCGGTCACTTCAGCCTGGCTATGGCTCCCTCAGCCCCCATTGATGCCTGGTGGTCATTCCAGTCTAGCTAGGCCCCCTCAGCCCCCATCAATTCCTGGTGGTGACTTCAGCCTTACTATGGCCACCTCCGCCACCACTGATGCCTGGTGGTCACTTCAGCCTGGTTATGGCCACTTCAGACCCCAACAAATGCCTGGTGGTCACTTCAGCCTGGCCACAGCCACCTCAGCCCCGGTGCCCACCGGCTCCTGGTGCCCCCTCAGCCCCACTCCGGCTCCTGGTGCCCCCTCAGTCCCACTCCGGCTCCCCCAGCCCCGCTCCGGTTCCCTCAGCCCCGCTCCGGCTCCCCCAGCCCCGCTGCCCGCCCGGGGCCGCCGCCTCCCCTCACGCAGCCCGGCCGGGCCGCGCCCGCCATTCCCGCTCGCTCCGCCCGGCCCGTCCCCGCCCCTGTACCCGGTGCCCGGTGCTCGGTACCTGCTGCCGCGCCGCCTCCGCGTCCCGGTAGTACTTGGCGGCCAGCAGCGCGGCCAGCAGCGCCAGGGCCAGCGCCAGGCGCGGAGGGGCCGCTCCGGGCCCCGGCCCCGCCATCGCGCCGGGCCCGCGCCGCGGAGCCGCCATGGCCGCCCGGCCGGGGGAGGCGTCAGGCGGCCGAGGAGGGGCCGCGGGCCCCGCGGAGAATAAAAACCCCTTTTTGTGTTAAATCACCTCCGCTCCGTCACGGGAAGGGGCTGTGTGGTGTTAAATATCGGCACTTGGTCGGGGAAAAATGTGTTTTAGTGGTAAATGAGCGTCGGTGCGTCTGGGAAATGATCGTGTTAGTGGTAAATGACCGGCACCCGCTAAGGAAAAAATGTGTTTTAGTGTTAAATCCCAGTTAGGGAAAAGTTCATTTTGGTGTTAAATTAACGGCACTTGTGAAGATAAAACCACTCTAAATGGTGAATGAGCGACACTTGTTCAGGAAAAAGTGCTTTTTAGGCTGAAATGTCTCTGCTGTGAGGGCTCTGGGGGGATGAACCCCATCCTCTGTCTCCAAGGACTTTTTCTTTATTATCCATGGGATAGATGTGTGTCTGTCCATCCTCACATTCCCATTTTGTCCTTAATTCAGCTTTTCCCAGAAAGAACCAAACCCTGGACTTGTTCTGCACTTCCCAAAGCCGTATCCTGCACTTCTACTTGGCTATAGCTGACCAAAATGGGTATTTTTTTAATTCTGCTGAGGTTTGAGCTCTGGGAATGGGAATGACTTGGCAGCCCTGGGGTGATGGTGCTCAGCCTCCTTTCTCCAGCATCATCCCCACATTTTGGGTCATTTTTACCACCATGTCTCATTTTGGGTCATTTTTACCACCATGGGTCACATTTTGGGTCATTTCCACCCCAAGCTTTTCAACCTCCCATGTCTTCAGTGTCCCTCCCGCAGCCGTGGCATTGCTGTCACATTGTCCCTTAGCGGTGGCTGGGCCAAGACACACAAAATTATTTAGCTACACAAATTTATTATTTTAACCCCTCCCCACGCCTCATTCTCCAATCCCTCTCCAATCCCCCACAGCCAGGGAAGATTTCTGCTGCAGGGCCGGCACCGAGTGTTTGATCTCTCCGAGGGAAGCAAGCAGCGTCAGCCTTTAATCCTTTGAAGCTCTGCTGTATCCTAAGCCTGCCTAATCGTTTTTGTTTTAGGTTTAAAGAACTCTGGAGATGGGGATGAGCGAGAGCATGACCAAGCCATTAAGGGAGGGAGGATGAGGATGGGACCAGCAGTGGAACCAGGGGGGATTTTTGTGATTCATGCGGTGAAAATTCCTTCTGCAGCACAGCAGAAAACTCCCCTGGAACTCAGCTCCATGAAAAACCCGAATGAAAGAGAAAAGGTGAAATAATTCAGGGTGCCTGCTGCTCCTTGAAAGAGAACAAACCTCTCTGGGTTTGTTCTGGGCGCTGGGATTACGGCACTCATGAGGAATGTTAAATATCCACACATCTGCTGTGGGGCACACCTGGATCAAAGGGAATCCTAAAAACAATAATAACAGGGAAGGTTTCCACCCAGCAGGAGAAACGATCCCAGGTTTCCCCTTGGCCAGAACTGCTCCTGGTTTGTGCTGAGCTGCAGGAAACTTCCTTGGGAGGTGTGGGATGGTGCCACTCACCTGTGAGAAATGGAAACCAGCCATGGAGCTGTTCCTGAAGGAAACCAGAACCACACTGTTTGTTCTGAGCGTTTAAATTCTGCTCCATGTTACTCCAAGAGCAGGTCATTCTTATTTAAGAAATTCCCTTAATCCATTATCAGAATCCTTTGAGCTCCAAGAGCTCCCCATGCCCAAATCTCCCGGATAACACAGCTCACTCCCAAGATGTTTATTTACCAACACCCATTCCTCCAGGCCAGGCTTAGCAGGCAGCAGCTTTATCCCTGGGATAATGCTAAGTCCCCATCCGACAATCTTATTTCTCTCGGGGAATTACAAAGGCAGGAATTTAGAAACAACATTTTCTGTTTTCACAACTTGCTCAAAGCAACTTTATTTTCCCCCAAGCTGCTGAATGAACCGATTGTCACGAGGCTGTCACAAGAATGAACAAAAATAAAAATGTTCCATCCCCCGGGGCCACAGAGCTGTGCAGTGATCAGAGGGAATCTGATCCCAGATCCAGCATTTAACAGAGCTGGAATTGCTGTCAAACACTGCCTGGATTCCCCTAGAAATCAACTTCTACTGCACAAAACTCTTCAAATCCACTCTTTAAATCCAGTGTTGTCTCATTCCAAGCATGGAGTGACTGGTCTTTTACAGGATCAACCCCAACAGGCTTTTTATTTTACAAGACTTTTATTCTGTTTCACAGATCTGACTATTACAGCAGTAAAATTATTACAAGTGACTCGTAACATTGAGTTCCAAATAAAAGTAGAAAAACACCAAAAAAAAAAAACCAAAAAAAACCAAAAAAACAAACCAACAATAAAAGGAAAGTTAAACGAGATGTGATGGGTGGTAAATGTGTTTTAAGAGCACAGAAAAAAAAAATATAAAAACACACCAGGAGCAAGGATTTTGGTTTAGTTACAGTTGTGACACCGCAGAGTCACAGAATGGCTGAGGCTGGAGGGGACTTTGGGGGGGCTCTGTCCCAGTCCCTGCTCAGGCAGGGCCACCTGGGCCCCAGGGCTGTGTCACCTGTCCCCAGTGTCACCTGAACCCCAGGGCTGTGTCACCTGAACCCCAGTGTCACCTGTCCCCAGGGCTGTGTCACCCCTGCAGAGGTCCAGGCTGGAGCTTTCCACCCTCCCTGGTGCCCTCAGGATCCTGAACTCACCATCCACAGCCTTGGATCTCGTTCTGGGCTCTCTCTGTTGGCTCCTGTGTCCCTTGCAGGAGGAATTTCTCACTCCAAGAGCCTCCTGAGTTACCCCTCCAGCAGGGATCAGGGTGGTTCAAGTCCCCCCCTGAAATCTGTAAATTCCAGCCTGAGGCTGCTCCTGTGTGTGCAGGGTCTGATGCTCTCATTTCCCAGTAAAACATCACCTGTCCCTGTCCTCCCCTCACTCCTGAGCTCCCAGCACCTCCTCACCATCCCCAACAATTCCAGCTGCTCTCCCAACCAAGGACAACTCCCTCATTCTCCTGCAGAGCCCCCAGAGCACCAGAAATCCCAGGACACTGAGAGCTGTTCGCTGGAAAGGTGATAAATCCAAGAGCAGACAAAAGGCAGAAATGAACCAGAGAAAGGAAAGGAGGATGTGTGTGTGTTTGTGTGGGTGTAAAGTCTATTTTATGGCAAACTTCCAGTCCTTTGGCCACTATAAAGCAAAATCAGTGGATTTCATATAAATTCTCTGTATAAAGGAATGTCTATGAACTGTGTACAGTATGGCCCAGAATAAACATCTCATCATCAGCCTAATAGAGCTCCTCACAGAGGAAAAGAAGGTGCTTAGTCATGGTTCATCTTCCCGAGAAAATCCTGTCCGCAACTGGACTAGTGCCCCAAAACACCATTTCAGGAACAGCAGGAATTCCTTCAATGGAAAGGAAAAGCAGAGTCTGCCCAGGCTGGGCCTCAGGGCTGCCCTGCTGCCCTCAGGTCCGTGTGGTTGATGGGCAGGGGGTGAGCCTCGGTGTTGAACACCCAGTCCTCCAGGGACAGCACGTCATCTTCACAGAACAGAAGATAGAGGTACCTGCAGCACAGGGACACACAGGAGAGCTTGGGGGAGCTCAGCAGGGCTCCAGGCAGGCACGGGCAGCAGCATGGCACACACTCCCACCTCCCTGCACATCCCCACCCTTGCCAGGCAACCCAGCCCTGGATCACAGCAGAGCCCTGCAGCCCCAGCCCCTGGGCAGGAGCCTCCAGGAGCCAAGGGCAGCAGAGATGCTGCTCCCAAAGATTTGCAGCCTTGCCCAGCTTCCCCCAGAATGGTTGGCTTGGAAAGATCCTGAAAGCTCTCCTGCTTCCAGCCCCCTGCCCTGGGCAAGGACACCTCCCCTATGAAGAGAAGGCCTCCCTCTCATCATCTGAGGCTCCCTGGGCAGCTGCTGCAGGAGCTGTGCTGCTCTGGAGGGCCCCTGGGAGCCCAGACTTACTTGAGGGTCTCTGCGAGGAAGAAGCTCTGCTGCATGTTGTCGTGGGTGGGCGTGGTGGTGTACACGTCCCGGATGCCAGAGAAGCCAGCCTCCACCCTGCAGTGCTTCTCCAGGGCCTGGGGGGAACAGAGCCCTCAGCCACCCCAGCAGTGTGGGGAGAAGCAAAAATCCACACTGGAGATAACCCTGAACTGAGGCACTTTGTGTATCCCTGCCCCATTGCTCACGGGTTTGAGATCCTGCCCCATTGCCTGTGGGTTTGAATCCTGCCCCACTGCCTGTGGGTTTGAGATCCTGCTCCATTGCCTGTGGGTTTGAATCCTGCCCCATTGCTCACGGGTTTGAGATCCTGCCCCATTGCCTGTGGGTTTGAATCCTGCCCCATTGTCCATGGGTTTGAGATCCTGCTCCATTGCCTGTGGGTTTGAATCCTGCCCCATTGCTCACAGGTTTGAGATCCTGCCCCATTGCCTGTGGGTTTGAATCCTGCCCCATTGCTCATGGGTTTGAGACCCTGCCCCATTGCTCACAGGTTTGAGATCCTGCCCCATTGCCCATGGGTTTGAATCCTGCCCCATTGCCCGTGGGTTTCAGACCCTGCCCCTTTTCAACAGTCTGGGTTGAAAGGAACCTTCAAAATCACCCAGTTCCACCCCCCAGCCACAGACAGGGTCACCTCCCTCCAGACCAAGCTCCCCAGAGCCCCACCCAACCCAGCCTGCAGCATTCCTGACCCATCTCAGCGTTTAACACAATTTCAATAATTCCCGCTCCTTCCTCCACAGGAACACAGGAACCCCCAGAGCCCCGAGCCCTCTGCAGCCTTACCTGGACCACCTCCCAGCCCCAGTGGCGGTACTTGGGCTGGTGGGTGAGCCTCCAGAGGTACATGTAGCTCTCCACCACCTCGGGCCGCAGGATGTAGTAGCGCTCGCTGAGCCGCGTGGCCGTGGCCTCGCTGCCCGCGTCGAAGCGGAACGCCTCGGGGCCCAGCTTGGTGTCTGGGGACAAGCACAGCGCTGTCACTGCCTGCCAGCACCAGCAGGACACCAGCCAGGTGCCCCCGGGCTGCTCAGCACGCCAGGCTTTGCCCAAGGCTTTGCTGAGCCTTTTTTCTGCATTGCGTTGGAGAGAAGGGATCGGGATGGTGATAAAACCAACGGCACTGGTTTTATAAACAGAAAATCAGGGGTATGTTGGTCTGTGGTGAGGAATCCCAGTCTCCTGCGAGCACTGTCCAGCACTCAGATCCCTGCTTTCAACACCAAAAATTGGTTCGTGAGAGTGCTCAGAGCAGCGGTGGCTGCCCCTGGATCCCTGGCTGGACACTGGGGCTGGGAGCACCTGGCACAGTGGGAGGTGTCCCTGCCCATGGGATGGAATTTCAGGTCCCTTCCAGCCCAAAGCACTGAGGCACAGAGCCCCCCGGCAATGCCCCCCAGCAGCGCAGGTACCTGAGCGTGTGTAGGACTCGTGGCAGGTGCTGGTGATCTCTGCTGCCAGCTCCATGTGCCTCTGCCTCCTGTCCCCCGCGCCGTGCTGGGCCCCCAGGGCAATCATGCCCCCAGAGAAGCAGGCCAGGTGCCCCATCTTGTGGTCCAGGATGCCGCCCCTCCACTCAGCAATGTAGGTCAAGCCTCCTGCAGACTTTTTCACCAAATGCTTTTCTATTGCCTAGAGGGACGGAAATCAGCACGTCAAGAGAGTGGACAGTGAGTAAAACTTACTCGGTGTTAGTTAGTGGCAGGAGTGAGTACCAGGGAAACCCAGAGGCTCATTCTGGAGGTCTGAACCCTTCTCATGAACCATGTTCCCCCCAAAAACCAGGGAGCAGCAGCTCGCTCCTCACCTCCAGGGCATCGTCGTACATCTTCTTAGCTTCAGAGTCCTTCTTGTCTGACATCAGCCAGGATTTGATGAGATATTCATAAAAGCTGTCCCCGAGCCCCCCGATGGAGACGTGGTCTGTGGTGGGAAAGGCAGGACAGAGCTTCAGCCTCATGGCAGGCAGTGAGCAGCTGCCTCACAAAGGGGAAACAATCTCGTCCCATTTAATGCCCTTGTTCTCTCCTTCCCCTGCCCAGCTTCCTGGGGAGAGCCTGCAGCACTGCTTTCCAGAGAGGAAGAAAGGTGGAAAGTGCAATCAGGAGAAAAATGTTCTGTCATTTTCCAGAGCATTAATGTCCCTTAGCAGAACCATTCAGAGGCCTTATTTTACAAGTTATTTATCCTGCAACGTGAAGATGCTTCCTGTTTATGGAGCCATCATCATAAATCCAGCCTCATAAAGCAAAAGCAGCGGTGGGTACTGAGGGATTTCCATCTGGATGGAGCCCCTGGGAGCTGTCTCAGCCCTCAGGAGAGGTGTTTGGATGCCACAGAGCTGCCAGCAAGGGGCTGGGCACACACTCCTGGGTTTGGCATTTGTATTCCTGGGGCTGGCTGGCACATTAAAATGATAAAGTCAGGGACAGGGATGTGCAGTGCATGTTTTCCTCTGCAGAATGGAGATTTCCCAGGCTGGGTGCTCACAGCACCCCTGCTCTGAGGGACTGCAGAGGGAAATGGGCCTGGCAGCTGCAGGTTGGTGCCTGGGGGAGCTGCTGGATGCATTTACAGCTCCAAACCCTGCCACAGGGGGAACAGCAGCTCTTTACAGCACTCGAGCACTCCCGTTTTTAGGAGAGCAAGACAAATGGCCCTCCCTGGACCGAGCCATCCTGTTAATTAACAAATTAACAGCGTCCCCCGGCTCTGCCCCACCCTCATTTCCCAGCTCAGCTCATGCAGCAGGTGTTCAGAGCTGCTCAGATTTTTGTTTCCCCTCTCCTTGTGCACAGATAAAGTCCCGAGGCTTATTCCAAATGCTGAATCCTCCCCGACAGCCACGCATCATCTTCCTGACCTGGAGAGCAAACATCCGTGCCACAGTGTGTCCGGTGATCCAGGGGATAATCCCCAGCAAAACAATGAGATTAAACACCCGGCTGGGAGGGCAGGGGATTTGCAAACACGGGCTGCCTTTAAAGAGCAGCTCTGTGATCCTCAGTGTGCCATTCAGAGACTCACCAAAGCTGCAGCCCTGCTGCAGAACTGCTCTCCACGTGGCAGCTTTGCCTCCCAGGCACCCTGCATCAATAAATCCACTGCCCCCAGGTAACTGCTGCCCTCCCTCAGCCTCCCCACTGACGAGATCTGCTCATTCAGCCAGGTCAAAGATACACCTTTTAAGAAAATCACAGCAATTTCAAGGGAAAACAGCTTCCTGCAGAGAGCTTTAATGGCAAGGGAGAAAATGAGAGGCTGGCCTCGCCGGGGAGAGGCTGCAGGTGCCTGTTCTCATCTGTTTGTCCCCAGCAGCACTGGGGGTGCAGGAGGGGCTGCTCACTCTTCTCCCTGCCTGCAATCTGGGGTCACATCCCAAGGTCACAAACAGCCTGTGAGAGTCTGTCTGGAACCAGGAAATCTCCAGGCATCTCCTGTCCCAAGCAATCAGAAACTGCTTTCAATGTGCTCTGGAAAGCACCACCAGACCCCCTCTCTGAGAACAGAAATTAAATTCGTGGCAGAAGAGACAGAAAACAGAATTCAATTGGTGGCAGAAGAGATGAGGGCTTCCTCCCAGCACCAAAGGGCAGCCCTGGTTCAATGGGACAGCCGTGACCATCCCAGGCACTCTGCTGGGAGCAGCCCTGCCAGCTGAAGGTCAGGGATTGCTCAGAGCCAGGGCTCTGTCCCTGCCTGTGCCACCAGAGCCACCAAAGCAGCACTGGGAGAGCTCTGGAGTGACCCAGCCCAGCAAGGAGAGCAATGGGGACACCAGGAGCTGCAGGACTCAGAGCAACCTGCCTGGACAACAAATGTCACCCACCGACAGCTTCAAACCGGCCTCTGAAAGAGACTCTTCTCTGGCAACATCAAATCCAGCAGCCAGAACGAGCAGATCAATGCCAGAGCAGAGAGGGGAGGTCACAGATGCTGCACAAGTGGCACCTCCTGCCCCTGGCACAGGGCAAACTCCTGAGGAGGGGCACAGCCTCCTCCCTGGGTGCCACCACAACTCCCTGCCCTCCCCAAGACCTTCCCTGATCACTGCTCCAGTGCTGGGCTCCCAACAGGAGAGAAGCAAACATCCTCATCTCATCCTGCCTCCCCAAATGGCTCTGCAGAGCTGCCATGGAAACAGCAACAGGGATGCACAGGAGAATTCCTGCCTGCATCCAAGGGGGATCCGAGGGGGATCCGGGGCTCCTCCAAGCCCTCTGCAGGGGAACCTCACTGTGCTCCCCATGCAGCTCCTGTGCTGGCTGCAGGATCCCAGCCTGGGCTGGCTCCCATCTCCTGTGGGACGAGCCCCTGGGCAGGGAAAGCCCTGATTCTCTCTGTGGGAGCACTCAGAGGGACACTCTCTGCAGTGGGACACTCAGCAAGGTCCCAATGGAGCTGGGACACTTAGGAAGGCCCCAGTTCTCTCTGTGGGACACTCAGCAAGGTCCCAATTCTCTCTCTCTGCAGCTGGGATACTCAGCAAGGTCCTGATTCTGTCTGGAGCTGGCACACACAGCTGGACACACATCTGGGAGGGTAATGGCACAATTCCTGCCCTGCTCCCTGCAAAGCCTGGTTTATCCCCTGTCCCCCAGCCTGGCTGCTGTGCCAGGAGCCCCTGGGGAAGGAGGGAAGGAGGGAAGGAGAGGCTGGCATGCTGCAGGCATGCTGCAGGCAGGGATACGTACGCTGCACCCAGCTCCCCGTCACCGGGCTCAGGAAGTTGGGGTACAGGCCCTGGGGCTTCTCCACTCTGCTGAGCACCCTGCGGATGTTCCTGACCTGTGAGAGAGCACACACAGCCAGGGGTTAATGCTCTGCTGCCAGAGGGCACACACAGCCAGGGGTTAATGCTCTGCTGCCAGAGGGCACACACAGCCTGGGGTTAATGCTCTGCTGCCAGAGGGCACACACAGCCAGGGGTTAATGCCCTCCATCCCTGCCCAGCCCCTGCCCTGCTCCAGCCCAGGGACACAGCTCAGGAAGGGTGAGGCTCTTATTTCAACCCTTATCTCAGAAATGGCTCTGGGAACCCTGCAAAGCCCCAGCTCAGCTCACTGCCAGGTCCAGATGCAATCCTGGGAGATTTTGTCCTTCCAGCACCTCAAGGGGTTACAGGGAATTGCACAGAGACTTTCCCCAAGGGTGTGGAGTGACAGGACGAGGGGGAATGGCCCCAAGGTAAAGGAGGCCAGGGTTAGATGGGATTCCTCCCTGTGCCCAGAGCAGCTGTGGGTGCCCCTGGATCCCTGGCAGTGCCCAAGGCCAGGCTGGACATTGGGGTTTGGAGCACCTGGCACAGTGGAAGTGTCCCTGCCATGGCAGGGCTGGCACTGGAGGGGCTCTGAGGTCCCTTCCAAACCCAAATCTGATTCTGTGCTTGGGGATCTGGGTGGAAATGGGAGATGTGAGCCATGCCAGGGGTGATTTTTTCGATGATCCAAAGGGAAAGGAGTGGCAGGGATGAGTGACTCACACAGCACTTAAATTCACCATGTGGTCACTTAATGTGATGAATTGGGGCCTTTAATTTCAACAAGAGACAGTTCCCTTAATACCCCAGAACAGCCAGCACTTAACTCTCTAAAGCCTCCCTGGGCTTCACCCCCATTAAATCCAACAGGCCTTTCCCTTAAGGGACCCAGTTAAATTCCATGCAGCATAAATATTCTATTATAACCTACAGAGCAGCTAATTTGCCCTAAACCTTTTACAAAATCAGACAATTTGCACGCCAAAAGCTGGCTACAGCCTTCAGCCAGTGCTTCCAAGGAAGTTGCCAGTCTCCATAGTATTTACTGGAGTTTAGGAGCTTGGCATATTCATGACAGGTTTGAATAAAAGACACAGATGGGCTTTAATTCCTGCTAAAATCACCCAGGTTCCAAGCTGGGAGTTGATCTGCTCCCCTGCAGGAATTTCCCACAGAAATTATTGGGAAGTTGCTGTGGGCTCTAACAGCTCACACCACCCCACATTTCCCTCTCAGGGTGGCTGTGCTCCATTTTCTGTGCGCACACCAGCCCAGGAGAGTCCCTCAGAAAGGTTTTGCCCTTTTCCCTCCACAGGTTTAGGAGGAGAAGAGGAAAATCTCCCAGGCTGGGGACAGAGGTTTGCCCCTGGCTCAGAATGCCACGGTTTGAACCCAGAATGAGGATGCAGTTCTGGTTTTTAGCAGAGCATCCCCAGCGTTTCCTCCTCTCTCCCCTCCCTCCATTTCCTCACCCTGCTCCCTTTCCTGGCCTCTCCTCAGCTGCCCCTCCCTGGCAGCAATTTGTCATTATCCTGTCCTCAGGAACCTCAGCCTTGTCTCTGTTTCACATCACCAGCCTCTCCTCATCTCCCCACAGAGTTCCCAGGGTTTCCTGTTTCCCTTCACCCTCTGCTTTCCCTCCTCTGACACTCATGGTTCACCCCACCCTCACTGCTTTCCATCCCCTCCATCCCAGCTCCACTTTGCTCTCCCAGCTTCTTCCTCCTCTTTTTTTATTTTTCCCTGTCTCTCCTTCAAATCCCCTCCTTGTTTCTCAGCTGACAGACCTGCACTGGACACCTCTTGGAAAAGCAGAATTTTAGAGGGTTTTTTTTGGCAATCCTGTCTGTTTATACCCCACTGTGGCACTCTGGACCAGCCCCATTTCCCTTTGGGCTCTGCCTGGAACAATCTGCGTCCCTCAAAGCAGGCTCCTGAGGGATCTGCATGTGCCCTTCTCTGGGTAAAACCCACACGGGGAAAAGCCCCAGGAGGATGAAGGGGCCACCCCAGAGAGCCAGGCTGGGCCCACTTGCCTTTTCTGCAAACACGGGGTTGCCAGAGAGCTCGGAGAGGTGCAGGAACTCCAGGTGCAGCGTCCCAAACTCTGCCAGGATGCTGCTGCCAGCAGATGCCCAGCCCCAGCTCCAGCTCATGCCACTGCAAGGAGAGAAAAGGGAAAGGGAGCCCTCAGTGCCAGGAAACAGCCAGAGCCTGGGGTGAGCCTGCCCAGGGCAGCCCTGCCTTGGCCAGGGGTCACTGGGGCATGGAAAGGACTCACACACACAGATTTGGGACAGACACACAGGTTTAGGACAGACTCACACACAGATTTAGGACAGACTCACACACAGATTTGGGACAGACTCACAGGTTTAGGACAGACTCACACACAGATTTAGGACAGACTCACACACAGATTTGGGACAGACTCACACACAGATTTAGGACAGACTCACACACAGATTTAGGACAGATACACACACAGATTTGGGACAGACACACACACAGATTTAGGACAGATACACAGGTTTAGGACAGATACACACACAGATTTGGGACAGACACACACACAGATTTAGGACAGACTCACACACAGATTTGGGACAGACACACAGGTTTAGGACAGACACACACACAGATTTGGGACAGACACACACACAGATTTAGGACAGACTCACACACAGATTTAGGACAGACTCACACACAGATTTGGGACAGACACACAGGTTTAGGACAGACACACACACAGATTTGGGACAGACACACACACAGATTTGGGACAGACACACAGATTTGGGACAGACACACAGATTTAGGACAGACTCACACACAGATTTGGGACAGACACACAGATTTGGGACAGACTCACACACAGATTTGGGACAGACACACACACAGATTTAGGACAGACTCACACACAGATTTGGGACAGACACACAGGTTTAGGACAGACTCACACACAGATTTGGGACAGACACACACACAGATTTAGGACAGACTCACACACAGATTTGGGACAGACACACAGGTTTAGGACAGACACACACACAGATTTGGGACAGACACACAGATTTAGGGGACATACACAGATTTAGCACACATGCACATATTTAGGAGACATACACAGATTTGGGGACAGACACACAGGTTTTAGGACACACACAGATTTAGGACAAACACACAGATTTAGGATACACACACAGATTTAGCACACACACATATTTAGGACAGACACACAGATTATGGACAGACACACAGATTTGGGACAGACACACACACAGATTTAGGACACACACACAGATTTAGGGGACAGACACACACAGATTCAGGACACACACACAGATTCAGGACACACACACAGATTCGGGACACACACACAGATTTGGGACACACACACAGATTTTAGGACAGACACACAGATTTAGGATACACACACATATTTAGGACTCACACACAGATTTTCAACAGCAGTTCCAGTGTCACTGAGCTGTGACTTTCCAGAGGTTCTTTAGGACTGGGCTAACACACTGACTGCACAAACTGCATTTCTGTGTGGGAGAGGAATCCCTCCTGAACAGCTCAGCTGCCAAACAGCTTTGGAGGAGCGCTGCCACCCTGCCCCACACAGCTTTGGAGGAGCGCTGCACCCTGCCCCACACAGACATTTGGGATAAAACATCCCAGGACAATCCTGGAGGATGCAGGGTTGGCTGTAAGCACAGCAGCCCCTGTGGGTGCTGCCCCGGAGCTGTGGTGGCTCCAGTGAGTCCCGGGGAGGGGACAGGGACAGGGACAGGTGGGGGTGACACTAGATGGCGCCGGGAAGCTTGGCTGGAGAGAGGAGGGTTTGTTGTTTACAGAGGTTAAAACTAATGATCCTGAGCATGAAAAGAGGAAAAAAAAAAGAAGTTTCCCTTGCTGTGATGGAGAGGAAAACGTGGCAGGTCCCGAGCTGGCTGTTTGGTCACGACAGGCAGTGTGGTCACAGTGCCCAGTCCTGCAGAGCTGCTCAGAGGAAGTCACTGTTTAAAGGACCTTGGCCTCCAAGGGGTGGGAACATGCCCAGAACCTCCTTTATCTCCCAGATAAGTGGCTCTGGAATGTCAGATCTTGTCCTTCCCCCGTGGGGATCCAAAGCAGCAAAACCAGTGGCAGGTCAGGGGAGAGGCCAGGAGAGGATGCTGAGGGAAACTGTGGAATACAGAGGGTTTGGGGAGATGTGAAGGGAAGGGCTGCAGCACAGGAGAGCTCACAGGGCAGAGCACAGGGCAGCAGCTGAAGCTGTGGCAGGATGGAGCAGGAGGATGGAAAGCAGGAGTGTGGGATGGGACACAGGGGACAGCAGGCAGCCACAGGAAACTCTCCAGCAGAGAGGGGACCCCAGAGGAAAGGTGACAGCAAGAGATAAAGGCAGCTGGTTCTGGCAGAGCTGGGGGGGTGGCTGTGCTGGGCCCTGGAAAATGAATGTGCAGAACTGACTCAAAGCCAAGGGGGGGTTTTGGTTTCAAATTTCTGAACGTCCCTTTTAACCCATCCCCAAGCAAGGCCCACACACACTGCAGGACCCTCCTCCTCCTCCTTCTGGGATGCTGAGGTCTCTCTGGGATTAGCACATCCTTGCAAAAGCAGAACTGGAGAGAGAATTCCTCGTGGCAAAACCCTTCTGGGCTTCGTTCTGGCCCTGGTGTTTGGGTCAGTGTGGTGTCACAGCCTCACCTCGCCCTCCCCTTGCACAGTGAGTAACTCCCATTCCCCGGGGGCTCACAGGCTGTGGGTGCAGCTCCCTCCATGCCTGCTCCTAAATCAGCTGGCACTGCAGTCCCAGAGCAGTGGGGGCTCTGCCATGGCCTGGGTGTTCTGTCGATTCTCCCTGCTCTCACTCAAGGTCATCAGCAAAACATTTTGGGAATGTCTGGGCAGACAGAGGCTGCTTCAATTGTCTTCACAAAGGGCAGGGGAGGGTTTGGCATTTCTGTGAAAGGTTAGTCTATGCAGAGCCTTTATCAGGCCCAGAGCAAGCAGGATGTCTGCGCTGTAAAAAAGGACAATTACAGAGCTGCTGGTGGCTCCAGTTTTCCCCGGGATCAGGAGCACATCAGACAGCTTAGGGCTGACAGTGATATTTGAGCAACGCAGCAGCGTGAGCCAAACGCTTGCAAGTCTTTTGCTCGCAGAGCCAAGGAGGAGATTTGGGCTAAGGGCTGGAAAATGACTCTGAGGGTTTCGCAAGAGGTGAGGATGACAGGCTTTGTTAACCCATATTTCCTGCAGCCCTCACCCGTGGATTTGTTTGGATGCATCAGAAGCAGCAAATCCAAATCCTGCCTGGCAGGGAATTGTCAGCCAGGAGAGGCAGGAGCAGCAGGGCAGTGCTGCCAGACCTTTGGCAGGGAGGGACTGACTGAACTCAGCTGGCCATAAGAACATCACCAACCTGAATTCTGGCTCTGAGAAAGGACAGAGCCTGGCTGAGGCTGAGTGCTGTGTTCTGTTTCCCAGTCCCATCCACTCCCTCGCCCAGTTTTCCCAATTTTTAAATCCATTTTTCCTGGATGAATTCACATGAAGCTAGCTGGGCACACCGCAAAAATCCCTGCTATGAGCAGAGTAGAAAATCACCTTTCACAGAACCTGAGAATGAGGAAAATGCTCTTGCAGCAGGGAGCTCTGTCAGGAGGCAGAGGAAGAAATGTGCCCAGCCCCAAATTGATGAATAAAACACAGCTGGGTTTGCCCTGAGTCACTGCAATCTGTGCCAGGGTCTGAGCTGGCAGAGCAAGTGACCTGGAGGAATCTGCCCTAGAGGGGACAGCTCTGAGGAGCTGCTGCTGCTGCCCCTGCTCCTTCCCAGCCCCAGAATAAAGGAAATGCAGCTGAGGCTGTGCTTGCCTGCCCAGGTTGATGACTCCACGGGGGATGCCAGTGGGGGTGTTGAAGGCTGGCAGAAGTTTCTCTCCAAGTTCCAGAGCTTTGCTTTTGAACACCTGTTAAAAGGGAGGATAAATATTTGATGGGAGGAGTCACAGAGGATTCTCCCTCATCCCCTTTTCCAAACATACAGTTATAAAACACTGTAGGTGCTGCAGAGCCCCTGCTCCAGGTGCGCTGTGCCTTGCACAAAAAATCTGAACCAAAAGTCTCACTGAACTTGGACATCTCTGAATTTCCTCTCAAATCTGCACTAAAGCAGCACCCAAAGCCTCAGCCTGCACCAGAGCAGCTCACAGCAGCACCTGTGATCTGAGCTGATCCAGAGTGCTCCCCAAATCCTTCCCACTCCCAGCATGGCAAGAACACAAGGAGCTGAAATCAGAAATCCTCCTGGGCTGAAGCGCTGCTGCATTTACAACGTGGGCTTGCCCAGAGTTTGTTTTCATCTCCTGTTGTAAAAAACATGATTTGCAACCAGCCATCCTCTCCTTGCAGCTCCTGGCCAAGAAGGATTGGTGGCTTCATGGCTAAGCTGCTCCTTTTGCACTGGTAATGCCTCAGTTTTGGGCTTTCCACTCAAATTGCAGCTTATGGTGCCTTGCAGCACAAAGCAAGCACACACAATTATTTTGGGACAGAGTGATACCAGCACTAATCTTCGCTGCAGAGATTAGTCCTGATCAAGAGAAGCCTCTAAGTGACTTAGGAGATAAAGCACAAGCCTTTTACCTCTAGCCCCGTGGTGGTGGCTCTCAGAAAGCAGGAACTCATTGCTCTAAAAATACAGCACTGAGGAAAGCTGAGCCCTCCTGTGGGCTCCCAGACCTTTGATACTCTCACAGGGAAACAGGGGGCTGGTTCAGAGGGGAAAGCAGGAGCAGGGACTGGGTTCTGCCTTTCAGTGGCACTGGGTAAGTGACAGGCACTGCCCCAGCTGCTGATGGGGCTCCAAGGGGTCACTGCTGGAGTTTGATGCTTTAATGTGGTTTCTCTTTGCTCTGTGGATCTGAAGCCCGTTGAAGTTGTCACTGAGACAGACTCTGAGTCGGGGCACTGAGTCTTTGAGGGTTTTCCCTGGAGGGAAATCCCAGAGAGAAACCATTCCTGGAACACATTTGAGATACAGCTGAAGGAAGAGAGCTGCTCTGGGTCAGTGGTGTCACTGTGCAGGAGCCATCCCACCTCTGTGCTGGGGCTAATGAGCTCTCATTTAGGGCCAGTCCTCACACAACTGCCCAGGAACCAGAGTTTCAGACTCCCAGGGCAGAGTTAGTAATAATTAATAACCTCCTCATCTCCCTAGAGATGAAAAATTCCATCCCAGGAAGGGCAGTGGAGATGAGATCTCTGCTTCAGCCAGGGCTCCACATCCACCCCAGGGGCTGAGACCCCAGCCCTGCACCCCAGCTCAGCAATTCCTGCTCCAGGGGCATGTGGGGAGCCCCTGCCCCTCCCAGTGCCCTCCTTAGCCCGAGGCAGGATCTGGGATGATGTCTGATGGAATCTCGAGGAACAAGCACAGAGACAAAGCTCCTCTGCAAATGGCATTTCCCCGGGGAGCAATGTGTCCGACTGCAAACGTGTCTGGCTACAATTGCCCACAGGAGGGAGGGAAGATCCCTGGCAAATGAGCCGTGCACGGTGTGTGCAAGGTAATTATTCGAGGCTTAATTAAGGGAACATTAGTGGCATTTCCATATTCACAAAAAGGATGGGTTTAGCCTGTTGTTAAGAGGGGGGATTATCTGATGCTCAGGGCAGGGCTCTCAGCTGGTTCCTGGGGATGGGGGGACACTGTGGGGACACTCCAGGAGCTGTGGGGACACTCCAGGAGCTGTGGGGACACTCTGGGGGGACACTCCAGGTGCTGGGAGGACACTCCAGGTGCTGTGGGGACACTCCAGGAGCTGTGGGGACACTGTGGGGACACTCCAAGTGCTGTGGGGACACTCCAGGAGCTGTGGGGAGACTCTGGGGGGACACTCCAGGTGCTGGGAGGACACTCCAGGTGCTGTGGGGACACCCCAGGAGCTGTGGGGCCACTCTGGGGGGACACCCCAGGAGCTGTGGGGACACTCTGGGGACACTCCAGGAGCTGTGGGGACACTCCAGGAGCTGTGGGGAGACTCAAGCTGCTGTGGGGACACTCTGGGGACCCACCTCCTCTCCAGTCAGGTAGTAGGTGGCCAGCAGCCCCCCGATGTAGCGGATGTTCACCTCGAACAGGGAAGCTTCTCCATTCTGCAAAGACAAAGGACAGCCCTGAGTGCAGCACAGCCCCAGCCCTGTGCCCATCTCCCAGGTCTCTGTTTGCTCTGCAGGGACAGGGGGAGCCTGGAGGGAAGGGAAACACCCAAACTGCCCCATTTACCACCAGAGGCAGCACCTGGGGCAGGCAGGGCAGATCACACAATCACAGACCCTCCTGAGATGGAAGGGACCCACCAGCACCACCCTGGCCCTGCCCAGACCCCCAACAACCCCACCCTGGGCATCCCTGGGCACTGTCCAAGAGCTCCTGGGGCTCTAATCCAGCCTGAACTTCCCCCAGCACAACGTCAGGCAGATCACTGCCCTCAGTGTCCAGCAGAGCTCGTGGGTCCTGCAGTCCCTGTCCTGCCCTTCTGCACTGTGAGAGCTCCTTGTGGAGAGGCAATATTGAATTAATTTCCCCCTGCCTCCCTTGCTGTGCTCCCCGACTCCACTGATCAATCCACAGCATTCACTCCTGTCTTTACAGATCAATCTATTCTGCAGGCCAAGATTAAAAGCTTTTATGAAATCCAGATAAATTATCTCCCAGTTGATTTTGTCCCTTGTTTATCGATTCAGTAACAGACTGAGACCATTCACCACATTTATCAGATGTGGGCTGCCTTTTATGAATCCACGAACGCCAGTGGTGCCCTCCCAAACGATGCTTCTCTGAAAAGGCAGCTGCAGGCATTGTTCCCGTGGGAGAACCATTCCTCACAACAACTAGGCTGGCACTAAACAAATACAAGTTTAAGCTGCACTTTGGTTTAAACATTCTCTGTGTGACACCGAGGAGATGCCATCAGCTGGGGGTGAGGGATGCAGGGGCACAGGAGGGACAGCATCCTCAGCTGCCAGCCCTGCACCAGAGCCCAGCACAGCCCCAGCAGCCCCAGGGAGAAGCAGCCCTGGCTGTTTCCAGAGGTGATGATGCCCTTCCTTCCAAACCCTGGCTCCCCTGTGCTCCCCCTGTGCTGCTGAGGTGTCACCAGGTCCCAGCAGTGACACCAACAAAGGGCCCAGACAAGGGCAGCTGGGTTTACAACCCTAATCTAATTTAATAAGGAAATTTAATAAGGAAATCTCGTTTTATGACAGGCAGACATTTACCTGAGATGAAACAGAACTTGTTCTTTAGTGAGCAACGTTTCCTTGGAGTATGTGACAGTGAGTGTTTCCATAACCCAGAGCAGAACGCAAGAACCATCAAACACTGAACCCGGTCAGCCAGGTGGGGCTGATCTGCTGGCCCCTGCTGCAAATTGGGGCCTGCCCCTGCACTGCCCCTTTGCCTTAGGAAGAATCAGCTGAGTGGTTCCTTCCCCCCCAGAGCCGTGGGGAGGCCTGTGCTCAGGGCTGGCAGCTGAGGTGGCACAGGCAGGCATTGCCAGCAGCTGACTCACCACGTTCAAGTCAAAGCTCTTCTCCACCCACTGCTTGGCTTCCTGGAATTCCTCCTCGAGCTCCATGATGTACAGGGTGTCCAAGGCGTCGATCACAGTTGCTCCTCGGAGGCCTCCTGTGTGGCACAAACACAGCAGAGGGATGAAAGCACAGCTCTGAGTCAGCCTGGGGGCTGGCACGGGCACAGCAGCTCCCAGAACCTGTGCTGGGGGGCCTGGGGGCACCTTCCAGCCGGGCTGCTCAGCCCTGCACACACCATTCCCACAGGGCTGAAGGATGCTGAGCTCTGCAAGAACTTGTGGTGGTGTTTGCTGGGGTCTTAGAATTAGGGAAGAGATGAGAAGGCTTGATTTATTATAATATATATATATTTTTTAAAAATATTTATATATATATATCATATATATTTTATATATAATATGATATAATATATATAATAATATATATTATATATTATATTTGTGATATGTATTATATATATTATTATATTATATATTTTAGGATAAACATTATATTAATATATAATAAAATATATAATATAATGATTATTTTTATTATATACATAGTATTATTTTATTACCTATTTTATTATGTATATTACATTCTTTTATTATATATTTTTAATATATATAATTTTATTATATATAAAATATTATTTTAATTATATATCTAATATTATATATATTTTTATTATATATATATATACATATATAATATTCAAACTATACTAAAAGAATAGAAGAAAGGATTTCATCAGAAGGCTGGCTAAGAATAGAAAAAGAATGATAATAAAATCTTGTGACTGACTGAGACAGTCCGAACAGCTGACTGTGATTGGCCATTAATTAGAAACAAGCACATGAGACCAATCCCAGATGCACCTGTTACATCCCACAGCAGCAGATAATCATTGTTTGCATTTTGTTCCTCCCAGCTTCTCAGGAAATATAAATCCTAAGGAAAGGATTTTTCAGAAGATGTCGTGGCTACAAGAACTCGCCAAGGAACAGCTCAGGGCCCACACCTGAAGCCCCCAGCCCCAAGGGCAGCCCTGGCCCTGTTCCCAGCCCTGCCCTGGCCCAGCAGAGTTTGAGCTCTCTCCAAGGCACACAGGGACTGGCTCTGACTCTGATGTGACCCAGACAAGGGCTCAGATCACCCATCCCGGGCTCCTTCCCCCTCTCAGCCTTCCTCCCCCCTAGGGAAGGATCCTGCCTTGTCTTGTTGATGCTCCAAGATTGCAGTTTTGACACTCCTCAGCCAGGCAGCACATCACTGCTTTAATGAAAACCCAGGCAGGAACTTTGCTGCTCCACCACGGATTGCTGCCTTTGGGATGCTGTCTGCATCAGAAGCAGGGCTGGGGGAGAGCAGGGAGGCACAAACAGCCTCCAGAAATGCATTTATTCCTGCAGGCTGGGCAATGGCCATCTCCCTGCAGCCACCTCCAGGAGCACAGGGTGGATGGAGTCAGACAGGCACTGGATCAACTGGTGGGCTCTGAAAATCAGCTGGGCTGAAGTGGGCATGGCAGGTTTGCCAAAAGCACTGAGCATGGAAAACAACAGCGTGGCAGGCAGGGCTGCTTTCATCAGCCCTAACGACTCTTCAATATTAATGATTATGTGGTTTTTATACACTTCCCTGTTAGCAGGGAGAGCATCTGAGCAGGGAAGGAAGGGCAGTGGCACCTGAGGCACAGCTGCTGCTGTGATACTCTGAGAGGAAAATCACACTGCTGGGCTCGCCTCAATTTGATGATATAATCAACAAAAGCTTTCCATAATCTGCAGAGAGACAACGAGGAAAAGTTGGATTTGCTCAAGCTAAACGGAGACAAAGAGACAACAAACTCACCATTTTCTGGGATGATTAATTGAAGTGAGGAACATTGCTGGGATTGACAGAGCCTTTTATGTTTTTAGCAAGTCGGGCCTTTAACTCTGGGGACTGGGAGCTCTGCTGCCTGTGTCTGACAGAGTGCAGGGCAAACCTCACTCCCTGCTGCTTTGCCTTTGTGTCATGTTAAACATTTGTTTTAAATATTCCCTCACCCTGTGCATCATCAGAGGAACCTGGGGCTGTGTGCTCTGTACCAGGGGCTGGGCCGTGTTCCCTTTTTTCTGCAGCAGCTTTGAGGAGCTGCAGATGCTCAGGGACTCCTCTCCTGCAGCCCCAGAGCCCTCTGAGGCCAGGAGGGGCTGTGCCAGCCCTGCCCTGGCCAGGACAGAGGGCACCCAGAGAGCCCCTGAGCCCCAGCCTGTGATTTCTGTGCCAGGGGAACATTTCCCTCCTGCCTGCTCAGAGCAGGAGGGAGCTGCAGGGGCAGCTGTGAGGATTTGGTGTGTGCACAGCCCAGCAGCTCAGGGCAGCACCAACACGCCCAGCTGGCAGGGTGGTGACACCTCCTGCCAGCTCCTGCCAGCTCTGTCACAGCACCAGCCCCTCCCTGCACCTGCACATCAGGCTGGGAGGGCTGCAATCAAAGGGGAGGCAGCTCCAAACCAAACCAAACCCTCTCTGTCACTCCTGACTCTTGCTGACACCCTCATCTCCAAATTGCCGGTTTCAGCATGGCTCTGAGGGAGTGTTACAGCAGGAACCAAGAAACCCTCACAAGAAACCCCTGAGAGAAACCCTGCTGGAAGCGCCCAGGGCTGGGAGCAGGACCAAAATCTGAGACTGTCTGTCCCAAACCCAAGTGTGCCATGAAATCCCCTCCTGATCCTGCCCCAGGCTGGCTGGGTGGGGACACCATCACCAGGGACCAGGACAGGGAGCTCAGGAGGAATCCAGGGGGTCCGGGGACATTCCTGAGCGCCACAGCAGCTCTGGTGGCAGCGCCTCTGCCCAGAGCTGTCCCTGGGAGATGAGCAGGGAGGAGAAGCAGCAGCTGACGGCAGCACACAAAGGTTCATCTCTCCCTGAGCTGAAGGAGCTGTGCCACCCTGGATTTGCTCTTTTGTGCAGCAGAAGAATGGAGAGAGGAGTGTGGGCAAAAAGGCTGCTCTGTTCCTGCTGCCACCCACCCCAGGAGCTGCACCAACCAACACTGACTTCATTGACACAACTGGGGAAAGGTGCTGGGTGGAGAGGAGCTGCCATTGCTGGCTTTGCCTTCTTTTGTTTCTTCTTTTCTTAATTTTTTTTTCTTTTTTTGTGGGAGATGACTCAGGCTCTAGGAAGAAACTCTGCCCCAAATGAAAAACCTTGGGGTGAGGTGTTTACAGGCTGGGATCCACATGTCCAAGCCCAGACTCACCTGCACCTGCCTCTCCCAACACCTGAACAAGTGGCCTAAGCTCAGCACCCATGCAGCCCCCAGAGCTTAGCAAAACTCCGATTTTCCAGAGGGGAGCAGCTGTGCTGGGAGGGATGGAGAGCACTGCCTTCCCTCTTCCCAAAATAGCCACCGTGGAGTATCACAGGCCAGACAAACCTGAAGGGCTCCCAGCTGCAAGTCTGTCCCTTGAGAGCCTCAAAAAAAGCCCCCAAAGTGATGCTGCAGCAGCCCAGCAGCTCAGAGTGGGGTCTGAAACTGCCTTTCCTCAGGAAGGAGAGCTCCTTCCAAAGGCTCTCCTGGACCCACCGCACTCCCTGTGCCTGGGCATGGAGAAAAGGACCCTGCAAAGCCCCCAGACCACAGGCTGGACCCTCCTGTCCCACCAGCCTTGCTTTGGGCTCCAGGGACCAAGGAGGAGCTCAGGGTGTGCCTTTGGGAAGGTGAGCACCAGGATGCCCAAGCAGCAGGAGATGGGAGCACCCTCACCAGGATCCCCAGCACTCCCTGATGTCAGGGCTCAGCTCAAATAAAATTATCCTTTCACAGGCTGGTTTGGGCTTGGAAGGGGCCTTAAAGATCATCCAATTCCAGCCTTCCACTAGGAAATTCCTTGTGCTGTGTCCCCCCTGTTTAGAGCCACATTTAGAGTCACATTACCCTGTGCCTGCCATCACTGCCTGCCCCAGGGAGGGAGGGAAGCCCACCCTGACCCCACCAGCCCTGCAGCAGGCAGAGAGCTTGGGGAATGGCATCTCTAATGCCCTGAGCCCCAGGGGGCTGGTGCTGCCATTTGGCAAAGAGCCCTTGATGAAGTGACTCAGTGAACAGAAACCAAATCCTTCATTTCCAACAAAGCCGTTTCCAATCCGCACAGTGACGCTTTGTGCCAACGCCTCGGATGAACAGCACGAGCCATTAGGAGGATATCAGACTTAATCTTGCATGCAGCAGGACTCTTTAAATGCCACAGAACAGGGGGTTTAAACAGCTCTTTGCTAACTTTAATAACAGAGTTTACAACTGAAAGGCAAGAGCAGAAGGGGGAGGAATTTAGATCAGCGCAATGTAAACCCAGATCAAAAATGAAAGGTCTTGACTCCCACTGTTCTTATGTCAGATCGTGTTTGTCAAAACAGAAATTAGTGCTGAAACCTTGTTTGGAATAAAAATTAGGATGCAGTTTCTATGAAACACGATGAACTTGTTAACTGCCAAGGCCCAAGGGGCTCTGGTTGTTTACCTTCACTCCTGGGGTACAGGGGCGAAAACACGAGATCCCTTCCCTGCTTCTGCTGGGCTCAAGGCTTCAATTAAAACCAGTGCCCTGGTACAGCAGGAGTCTGAAAAATTACCATCTCCAAGTGCTGGTTTTCCTGTTCTTTTTGGTCCTTTTTCTCCATGACAGGGCTTGGAGAGCAGCCTGAACTCCTGACATTTATCCCAAATGTGTGTGAGAAGCCTGGGAGCTGCCTGGGACCGCGCCACCACACGGCTCCTGCCTGGTGGCAAACTGTCCAATTCTGGGAGAAATCCACACACAGACGTTTCACACAGCTCAGGATTATCTTGGCAACCAAGTAAACTGTGAAAATCACTGCAGCTCCTGGAAAAATCTGCCCTGCAGCCAAGATTTGCCTGTGCAGAGCGCTCCAGGCCCGGCACAAGCAGAGGCTGGGAGCCTGAGCTGGGATCTGGGCTCAGGCCAGAGCTCCCTGTCTGGCCTTCAGCTTCTCCTGCCAGCCTAAAAAGCAGGAGGAATTTTCCTCAAAGCATGAAAAGAAAGAGGGTTTAAAGCAAGAGAAGTAAGAATTAATTTATCCACTACATCCAAC